CTCTCCTCTCTAACCGAGACAAGCCGCTGCTGTCCTTATCTTGAAACCGCCACCCAGCTACGGACCATTAGTTACATATTTGAACCAATAAGGAAACACTTACCGGGCGCTGCTGTCACTCTCCCTCTCCCTCTCTCTCTCTGCCTCTCTCTCTCTCCCACTCTCTTTCTCGTCTTCCCTTATTCTGTGCCGCTGCCGAGCCTGTCTCAGCTCCATACACACATATATACTTTATATAAATTTAAAAATAAAAAAATAGTCCCAATGATCAAAAAGCCAAATAAAATTAAGGAGAGTTGCAAGAAGGGGGCAGGAGGGAGAGGCTGGGAGAGGGGAGGGGCGGAGGCATCTGCAGCTCCCTATCTCAACTCCTGCTCCCGCATTCCTCCTGCCCCTTGGGGGGCTAGAGGATCGGGAAGGGAGAGAGCGGTGCCCCCAACTCCTGCCCCTTCCTCCACATCCCCCCTCCCCGGGTGCCCCCAGCTTCCGGCAACTCCACCTGGGAGGAAAAAAATTAAATGGGGGGAGAAAATAATTATTAATCAGATTAATAAAAAAAAATACTGGTAATGAAGGGAGCGCCCAGCGCAGGTTTCCCTGGCAATGGTTAGGCTCTTACAGGGAGGACTGTTCTGCGGAGCGCTCCGAACGGACAAACCACAATAAAAAGTTCACGTTCATGGATGGAATCCACATGACTTCTTGTGGCCAATCCAACTTGTGAGTCGATCGTAAACTTTTATTACTCAGCTGTAAATTTTCTGCAAACAACCGGGAATGCGATGCATTTGTGTAGCGTGTGCAAATGGGCGCCGCGGTCGCCATGTTTACCCAATTCTCTCGGAGAGGGAGCATCCCCCGACCCCCACCCCACCCTCACCCACCGCCCACTCCCCACGGGCCAGGCTGCTCCAGGCTAGCACAGAAAGGGCAAAAGGGGGACGCGAGAGGAGGAAAGGAAGGATTCTGGCGCTGAGTCGGCCGCCTCCCTTTGCCATGCCGAATTTTAAATATCTTTCTTAATATAAATGGGGTATTAAGGTTGGATCTGGGGGAAGCGAGGCTTTGCAAAGGTTTGTGGCACTGCCGGTGCAGGGCCGGCTGGAGGGGTGAAGGGACTGAGAAGGGATGCGCTCCCAACTCCTACCCTTTTTTTCTAGGAAGAGAACTACATCTTTCCCAGTGGGGAGCCCTGGCAGCCCCCGTTCAGCCCCAGACAGGAACAAGAGGGACACGCGGCTGGAAGCCTCATAACCAAGCCTGACCTGGCCATGGTCTGAAGAACGGAGAGGGCTTAGACCCGTACTGGGTAGCCCTGCCCATGCAGCAGGAGGGGTGAGAGTTGGGGGCAGCCACCAGAACCCCCAAAGTGCCCATCAACCCCAGGCTCCTTTCTCAGAGAAAAGGACATTTTTCCTTCTCCTAGACCATCTCCAGTTTCAGGTCTCCTCAATTCCTAGGCTTAGATGGCAGATTACTCCCAATCTTTCTAGAAATAAAAATAAAATTAAGGCCCAAGATCTTGGTTCCTACTCCCCACCCCCCTGCTTTGGGTGCAGGGCAGCTTGAAGCCTTTTCTATCTTGTCAGGTGACCAGCACCCACCTGCCTTTTTCAGAAAAATGCTGGTGTCCAAGCAGCTGGGATACACCTTGGAGGCCCTCCCCCCAGAAAGAAACTTATCTTTTCCCAAATTCCACCTTCTGTGCTAAATTCTGAGCACTTGAGGTGTCTCCCACCTTTTTCCAGACCCATAATTTTGGCGATGAATCCAATGCGGGGGACCCCAGAATAGATTCCCCCCATAGAGACTATTTGCCAACCAGTCACAGCCCAGCCGAGTCACCAGCTGGAGATCTGAAGGCCCAAAGCTCTCTCCTTGATCCCGCACGGAGCTGGTGCGGGGGACATCCATGGCTGGGTGCCCCACCCCAACCAATAGGGGGCCCCTCATCCCCTCCCCAAACTTCCTCCCTCAGTAAGGGAAGCAGTTCCCTCAGCCGGATGCAGAGACCTAGTTTCTTTTACAAACCCACCCATAAATTTTATAACAGGTAGTTAAAAATTACGACAAGGAAGCTCTGGCGCAGCTTTTCACAATGGGCTGCTGGGAGAATGGGACAGCGCTGCGGGCTGCTCACCGGAAATTTTACTTCTCGTCTGTGGCACAACCTGTCCCGAGTTTGGTCTAATTGGGGCGAGGTAACTTTCTGCAGCCGGCAGGCAGCCAGTGGGACATCTCATTTGAGGAAGATGAGGCTGGAGAAGGCCAAACCACTCTCCCATCCTAGGGTCCCCCCCAAAGCCCTATAGAGCACTCACTACCTCCCTCACCCCCAGGTCCCCTGCAGGCCCGCACCTCCCTTGGCCTCTGCCATGAAGTGGGGAGGGAGATAAAATGCCGAGAATTAAAAAAAAAAAAAATCCAGAGAAACGAATTTGCCCCCCAACTTAATAGCTGCATTATCCCGTCTCTACAGCTGAGATTAGAATAATAAATTCAAGGCGAAATGAGCGAGATGCTTCAACTCAGCATTTTGAAAGATACTATTTTTCACAAATCACAAATAGCTTTCGGAAGCCACTTTGATTGGCTAATAAAAAAGTAAAGAATGGGAGAAAGTCCTATCTGCTGCAGCCGAATGGTCCCCATTCCGGTAATGGGACGGCGGGAGCATTTGGGAGGACGCGTTTCTAAAGAGAGCGCATCCCGCTCGCAATTAAGTTCCCCCATAAAACGGGTTTTACCTCCTTTTCTCTCCAAACGAGAAAAAAGAGGCGGTGGGCAGAAAGGGTGGGGGAGCGGGTGCTGCAGGAAGGGGCGGCTGGAGCTCTCTTGGTGCGGCCCACCCGAGGCTTCGCATCTCAAGCGATGCCGGGCGCCAGACGCACCCCGCCCTCCGACGCCCGGCTTGGGGCCACGGGCATTGCTGAGCAGGGCCAGGGATGAATGGGGCACTGGGTGTGGGGGAAATTCGGCGAGGTCCTTTGGAGTCACTTAGTGTAGGGTTCAAGCAACTTGGCTGCGGGTCGGCGATGTTTATTAATAGCAATCATAATTCCACATTAAAAAATGAAACGGCCCGCGGACGGCCCTCAGAGTCTGGAGGGATGCCCCTGGGAAGGCCTGAGGTCGGAGTGAAATGCTCTCTTTTCGGGTACCTCCCTGGCGGGTTGCCGGTGCCTCCCGCAGCAAACGGGGTTACCTGGCTGGCGCAACGGCTCACAGCAGGGACCCCAGGTTTCCAAAGATTTCCCCCAGAGCTGTTCAAAGCTGGTCCCGGCTGCCTGCAGCCTGTGCTTCCAATCGGCAGCCTCTCTCCGACCGCAGGAGTCCCATATCAAGGATGCCTGACCCAATTCTGTATTCACGACCACTTTGCGAGGGAGCCAGGGACCCAGATGCGGGTGAAATTACACAAAATAAGAATCAGCCTGGGCCTAAGTCTGGGAAAAACACTGTCGGAGTTAGGGGGGCAGAGATCTGGCGTCAAAAATATTTCAGTCTTCGGGGGATCTGGTTTTAAGGACCAGAAGATCCCATCTCCTTGCCTTTCCCCCTTCTCCTGACTGAGTCAGATGACTCCTATCTCTGGAATTTGGTATTATTTGACCAGAATCTTACTAGCATAAACAGATTTCTCTGCCTAGGACCCTCCAGGGAGGAGTGAGAGACCCCTTTGCCCCCTGAGTCCCTGAGCCTTCAACCCCTTATTTTGGGGAATGAGGAGTCCAATGAAGACTCTCTTTACCCTTCTGTGGCTGGGATGGAGGACTGTCCACTCAGCAGGCCCATCCTCCTCACCCCCAGGCCAATGGCCCACACTATGAGGGCAGGGCAGACGGCCCAATTGCCAAGGTGAAGCTGGGAGCCGGCTTGAAATAGCCAGAACAGAGGCTGGGGTAGATGCTAGAGGCCTGGGTGAGAGTGATGGCTCTGTGCTGACGGAATTTGAATTTCAGAACATGGACCCGGGCTGCTTGGTGTACCAACTCACTCACCTTCCCCTCCTTCCCTTTCCCCCAGGCTGAAACTTCCTCATCCCCCACCCCTAGCCATCTTCCCCCCAGCCAAGTCTTCCAGGCTGCCTTGAGCCTCACATTCTTCCCACCCTGTTCACTGTTCTAGTGCTGGGTGCTGGGTGCCCAGGGTTGACCACGAGGGGCATGTGGAGATCAGAAAGAACCCCATTGCCTCATCCTCAGTCCCTGGAAGAAAAAGGCCTAGTTGTGGGAGGGGCATGGGGGCAGATGCTTTGTCTGGGCCCAGCCCAAGGCTGAGGAGGAGGAAGGTGAATAAGTGGGGAGACCCTCTCTTCCCATTGGGATCTTGGCATCTAGAAACCCATTTTGTTTGGAGCCAAGGTTCTCCCAAGAGCATACTGCTCTTCTTCCTCCTCCTCTACACCTCCCCCACCTCTCACCTGCCCTCCCTGCCCAGCCTGCCCTCTCAACTCCTAGGGACCTCTCCACATGAGTTCCTCCACCCAAAGTCAGATCAGTGACGGAGACCTTTTCCACAGTGCTGGGAAAGAAGGATAAGGAGGAAAGGAGGAGTAGAGAATTGGAGGGGGGGAGGGGGGCATTGGAGAAAAAGCAAGTCATTCCAGCTTCAATGTTTTTTCTCCTTTTTTTTTTTATTATGACTCACGTATACAATACAAAGTACTTGGACCAGGAACAGGGCTGCCGGGACACAAAATCTACATTCATAGCTGGACATAAAGACAAATGACCAAAAATTATTATTATAGATATATTTTAACGTTTTTTTTCTTTCGAGCACATTGCATAAACAGAGAATTCAAGACAGAGTTAACTATACATTCAGTGCAATTTAGTTCTACTCTACTGGGGTTAGAAGCACAATAAAAGCGCACAGGACCGGCGGGCTAGGCAGTCTTAGTTGTTGGGTTTTTCTTAGTGAAATAAGCAGCAACAAACGACAACAAAACCGCATTACGAATACTCTCAAAGCAGGATTTCTTTCTATAGGTAGTGATAAAATACGTTGGAGGTTTCTTTCTTTTTTTTTTAATTTTAATCTTTTTCTCTTTTTTTCTTGCATATTAGGATTTTTTAAAATTTCTTTTTTATTTTTTCATGATTATTGCAGGTTCCCTTTAGGTAGTATGTTAAAGATTTATTCGCAGTATTATTATTATTATCATTCTTATTATTTTCATGATTATGGTGATTTCTGAGCGCTAATACTAGTGCAGCTCAGAGGAAGCTGGGCCCAACAACAGAAATCAGACAGCGAAGGGGAGGAAGGCATGGGCCCGAGTGACCATGGGATGGCTAGGTAGGATTTCAGCGGCGACTGCAGGCTCCTATCTACCCCGTGGGGAGAGGAGGCAGGGGAGAGACCCGCATCTCTTTCAGGTTTCCACCAGGTTTCTAGAGAAAGTCAAGGGGGTCTTTCTAAGTGGGGGAGCCCCAGGGAGGGAGAAGGGATATTCCTTGCTATCATTTTAAAAATTTCTTTAAACATCTCCCTTTCTTTCCCTTCCTTCCTTCCTTCACTTTTCTTTCCTTTCTTTTGAAAAGAATTCAATCTAATACATAATCCTAGCATAAAAACAAAGCCACAAGTCTTCGTCCGCATTTTGAGAGGGCTCCCCTCTAAAATAAATACCAGAGAAGCAGGGAGGTGGGAGTGTGGCAAGAAGGGGTGAGAGAGGGGCGAAGAGGCCAGGTCTCAGACCTTAAAATCCAGGCAGGACTCCGAAGGGTGGGGGTAGGGACAAGTGTGTGTGTTGGGGCAAGGACTGAGACAGAGTCCAAACTTTTCGCTGTGTCTCGGTCTCCCCCCCTCCAGCCCCCAAACAAATAAAGATCGGGGGAAGTCCAAAGGTAATAAAACCAGAGCTGCAAGTATCTGACAGGTAGTTAGAGTTGTGAGTGTCATTCTATTCTCTATAAAAGCAAATGACAGTCGTAAACTTCTCAATTTATCCGCTACCATAAAACGAAACTTCAAGGGAGTTGCTAAGGGGGGGGGGGTCTCTCTTTTTTGCTTAGTCCTTGTTTTCTTCCTTTTCCTCCTCTTCTTTCTCCTCTTCCTCGTTTCCTTCTTCCTCCACCTTCTCTTCATCTCGGGCTCCGGGCAGTTTATCCTTGTTGTTCTCCTTTTTCCACTTCATCCTTCGGTTCTGGAACCAGATCTTCACTTGTCTCTCAGTCAGTCCCAGGGCGTGAGAGACTTCAATCCGGCGCTTTCGTGTCAAATAAGGATTAAAGAGAAACTCCTTTTCTAGTTCCAAGGTCTGATACCGGCTGTAAGTTTGCCTTCCGCTGCGCCGCCCCGGAGCTGGACAGAATAGAACCCCAATCTGGTTATGTTTGGGTGGGGGCTCGGCTTTCCCCTGCCACTATTCCTCCCCTAAAGTCTCCCCTGTGATCTCCCCAGTTCCCCTCCCTCCTGAAGACCAGGCAAGAGCAGGGAGCAGGCAAGGGCAGGAAACTTTGGGGGCTTGTTTTGGTTTGGCTTCACCTTGGGAGGTGGGGTGGGGGTGGGGGCAGGGACTAGGGTCTATCAGGAAACTGGGGGATGGCAGGGGCAGGGGGAGCACTGCAGAGTTCCCCCTCTCCCCCCCCCCCCAGGCCTGCAGTCTCAGGAAACTGGCCCTTGCAGCTTTGTTTACAAGTACAGAGTGGCATTTGGTGAGCATAGCTGGGGACAGAGTCTGTTTCCAAAAGAAAGGAAAAAGGTCTGGGGGTAAAGAAGAGGGGCTCTGCCCACTGCCCCCTCCTTGAATCTCTCTGCTTAATGCCTTGCCAGGAAGAAAAATAATTGATCTCCTGGAATGTATCACTGCTTGGCCTGATTGCTAACTGGAGACCAGCAAATAAATCACGGGCCATCCCCGCTGGAACTTGTCGCTTTCTCGCTTCCCCTTTTACTTCGAAATTGGGCCATGAGAGGCCACCCTTGGAGGGGCTCATGGCCTGAGCCACTCTGAAGGTCTCAGGGAAAGCCCATAAACCTTTGATTGGGGGCAGCTCATGCTTGGGTCCTCTGGACCCCAGTGCCCTCTAATCTGCATGGCCCCTCTCCTTCCTGCACTCTTTTCTCTCCTCTCTGGCTCCCTCTCTTCTCTCCAACTGAGGGAACTAAAGCAAAGTTGGGGTGGTGGCCTTAAGGCTAGTTCTCTGAGAGGAGGCGGTGGGTACCCCAGAGAGCCAAGGCACCTGTCCTTGGGGTCTTGTCACCCTCTGGTCCAGGTAGGGGAGGGAAACAGGGGCCTCCCTTCGCCCCCAAGACAGCCTGGCCACTGTTCTGGACTGAGGCTTTCTGCCTTTTGGAAAGACTGGTTTGCTCCAAAGGCTGATAACCTCAGGGTCCTCGGGCCTCTGCCCAGCCACCTCCCCAACTTTGACTCTAGAGATGGCAAGAGGGAGAGACAGAGAGGGAGACAGGCAGACAGACAGACAGACAGACAGTAGGTGGAGAAGACGATTTTTAACCCTTTGCGCCCAGACACCACCTTCACCCCAGTCCCCCAAATATCCCAGGCGAGCCCCGCGCCCCACGCCCAGCTGAACCTCCCAACCTCGAGAAGCCCACTCAGGCACGGGGGTGGGGCCGCAGAGACCCCAAAGCCAGGAGGGAAAGCGAGGGCAGACAAAAAGGAGGCAAGGGAAGGGGGGAAGACCCCGGAGCGCGGGAGACCAAGGGGGAAAGAGAAAAGGCTTCTCACCGTGGGGTCTCATCCATGGAAACATGAGGCTGGGAGACGAATTTTGATTTAAGTGGCCTTGTCCTTCGCTACTGTTAGTGTTGGCGGAGGATTTACAGTCGGGATATTGCACCACGCTCGCCTCTTGCTGAGCCCCATAAAGGGACTGTCTGGGGAGCGCCTCGTAGCCATAGAATTTGGAGGCGTCTCCGTGGCAGCTCAGCGAGCACGGGTTCTGCTGGTAGCCCGAGTTGGAGATGCCCGAGGTGCCGTGGTGGAAGAAGTCTTGGACGTGGTGCGAGGCGTGCTGGAAGCCGGGCGCCGAGCCGCCGGGCCCGTACACCAGCGCATGGCTCCTGCCCACGCTCTGAGGGAACCGGCAGTCGTAATAGGCCGGTTCCAGGGACTCGCCGCCTTTGTATTTGGAGAACAGGGGGTTGACGAAGTAGGAGCTCATGCTGGGCACATGAAAACCCGCCGCCCCCTCCCCGCCGGCTCGCGACTCCCCCCGCCCGGTACCCCCCGAAAGTCCCTCCCCCGGGAGCGAACCCCGGGCCGGCCGGCTCCCCGGGGCTGGGCTGGGCAGGTGGGGGGGCGCCTGGGTGCCGGGCCCGGCCGGCGCGGCGCGGCTCCCGGGGCTGGGCGCGGGCGGCGGCGGCGGGCGCGGGCGGCGGCGGCGGCGGCGGCGGCGGGCGCGGGCGGCGGCGGCGGCGGCTCTCTTCACGGTCGGTAGGTAGAGCTCGCGCTCTCGCACTTAGCTCTTTCCTTTAACAGCCCAGGCGAATTCCTCAGACTCCCGGCGGTGGCGGCGCTTACACGCGATTCGCGTTCATCAATCCACGACATGAAGACAGGCGAGAGAGAGAGAGAGAGAGAGAGAGAGAGGAGAGAGAGGGAGAGAGAGAGAGAGAGAGAAGGAGGGATGGCGGGGGGTTGAGGGGTTCAAGGCTGGGGGGACCTGGAGGAAGGGGAGGAGAGGGAGGGGGAGGGAGGGGGTGTGGTATATGTGTGTGTGTGGTGGGGGGGGGGCGGTGAGCCAGCCCCAGCTAACGGTTGGGGCCAGCTTCTCCAAGGTGCGCATTCAGATTTGAAGGTGCCTCTCCCCTCTTCCCCTTCCCTTCCTCTCAGACAGAGACACCTGAGCCAGCAGGTCAACTCAGGTTACCTCAACAGGTATAAGACCCTCCCCCCAGGCGGTTGAATGCCAGCAAGAGAGCAGGTCCCCTAACCCAAAAGATGGGCTCCCCAGGGCGTCCTTAAGCCTGGGACTCAGAAGGGGCAAGCATGTCAGCACAGCATATCCCCAAATACCTCAGGCATCCCAACCCTCCACGTCTCCTGCCCCTCCTCAGGGTGGGAAGCTGCCCCATCTTCCCCCATCCCCAAGATTCTCTTGCCCGCCTGCTGTGGGTAGAGGAGAGGGCTGGAGGTGGGGCGCACTTCACATACCCAGGCGGGGCTGCCCTGCAGCTTGGCTGGGGGCTCTGAAAGCCAAGCAGTTTATGGGGACAGAGCAGAGGGCAGCTGGCGGGTCCCTGGTTTCCGGCTGGGCTGATCCAGGATGTTTCTTCTCGGGAGACTATTTGTATCTGGGTTGGAGGGGACTGGAGCAGGCCTCTTACTTGTCCCCACATACTCAAGCCCTATAGGAAATGCCAGCTCAGCCTGGAGGGCCCCCTGGCTTCATTGCACCCCCTACTTCCCCAGGCAGGCTGCCCAGGCCAGGATGTGGATGGCAACTGTCAACAGACCCTCTTTAAATATTTACCCACAGTTTCTCTAGGGGGTTCCTCCTCTATCCCCAAGACTAGGTAAATTCAAGGTAATTCTAATGGATAAAAGAACCTTAGTCCATCAGTACCCTTCTCTGGCCATAAGTGTGTACAGTTATGTGGGGCTGAACAGAGACAGAGAGAAAAGGGAGAAAGTGAGAGAGCTGTGAATACGTGTGCTGTGTGCATACGAATGAGGAAGAGGAATTAGAAGGATTTTTCCAGTCCTCCCCTTCCGCGGTGTGTGAGGTTGTTGTACACAGGGCAATAGTGGGGCACACCTGGGATACACACATCCTGGATGTGCCACCTCCCACCCTGAAACACATCGAATGCACGCTCCCTCAACCATCATGCATGCCCGGAAGCATCCCTGTCACCTCACAGACACTGTGAACCCCGGGCACACAGGGGACTGATACCTGACAGACACACGTGCCTCTTTAGCTGTTTGCATCATGAAAAAATTTTGCTACCTATTTTCTTTCCACATCCTGGGGTTTCAGGGTTGGATGAGGAAGGAGGCTGTTAGAAAACCAGATCGTTTTCTTCCTCAGCCAGAGCCCAGCTCTGGGGATGGATGAGGGAATGGTAGTGCAGGAAAGGATGGTGTAGAATAACACCCTCCTCCCAGTCCCTCTATTATCTAAATAATTGCTGGGAAGATGGCCACTCTCAGCCAATTCCCAAAGAAGAGTCACTGGTGCCCCAGCAAAGGACACTTCCAGGATCCCTGAATATGGAGGAACCCACCTCCACCTGAATTAAGGACTGCCCAAACTCTGCAATGTCCAGAACTCTGGCCCTGGAGCAGCACGAGGGGAGGATCAGAAGAGGACTGTGCCAGGGCTGCAGGCCTCCCTAGGGTCCAGGACAGTGGGGGGCATGACAGGGGTCTCCTCCACTACCAGAGCAAGCTCCAGCCTTGGTTTCAGCCCTGCCTTGTCTGAGCCTACTCTGCTCAGAGTACCAAGCTGAACGAGATGGGCTCTGGGTTCCCAGCATCTGGGTCACTGGGGACTGTCATAAATATTTTCCCTTCCCTGCCTGGAAAGAGGAGGCTCGGCAGGCCAGATCCGCTCTGGGGCCTGTGCCTTATCTTTTAGAGGGTGGGGGGATAGCTCGACATTTTATGGTCCAGCGAAAACCCTGCCACAGAGCTATTCTTCCAGGCCTTTGTGTCTTGGAATGCGACTGTCCAGAGTGTGCCGCCACCACCGTCTGCTCTGAGAGCCCACCAGTCCTGAAACCCCTGGCTGGACTCGATTTCCCCTTTTGGGGGTCCCTCGCTTTTTCTTTCCTTCTTTCTTTCTTTCTTTTTTTCATTTGATCGCCTTTTTTCCTTTTACACGTATCTGGTTGATTTCGCTCCCGGAGCTTGGAAATAAAGGAACCGCAAGCAGTCATCCTCGCTGGGGCGTCTCTGCCCCTCGCCCCGAGGCCTGCTCCGCCCTCCTAGGTACCACGGATTTATGTTCGTTTGTCCGGGTCATTCTGCCTTTTTGTGTTAATTACGCGCTGCCTGCTTGGTGCTTATCTCCTTCGCAAAGCGATTATTTTCGACGCCCGCCCTCCTGAGCCTCTCAAGCCTGCTGCCAGAGCGAGGGCCCATCTCCCGCCGCCACTCGCGATTTATTTACACCTCGCAGGTGAGAGGATTGATTTGCTCAGAGCCAGTGCGGCCGGGCTGGGGCCGGGGCGCGGGGCCTTCTCCCCGCTGCTCCTCCGGGCCGGGCCTCAAATGTCAGTACCGCCAGGCCGGCCAGGGGCACCGCCGCCGCCTCTAACATTGAGCAACAGCGCCACCTCGCGTCCACTTGCTCCAATGCAGTCCGGCCGGGAAAAAGCCAACAGATAGAGCAAGCAGGTCCCAGCCTTGGCCCAAAGGTGGGAAGTGAGAGGAAGGAGTTTCCAAATGGGTGCGAGAGAGGGGTCCCTGGAAGGAAGTTCCCCCGGGGCCGCTGTCCTTTTGTTTTCCAAGCTCTCCAAATAAACCTTCTCAAAGGTTTCACACTATTTTCTTTTTCTCACCCTCCCTCCCCGCATTAAGAGACACTGTGCAAAGGACCTGCCGCGATCTCCCCCCTGTTCAGGCGCATTTCTGGGCTCGGAACATCTCCGCTCACGCAGATGCACGCTCCGAGGCTCCCGCGACCTCCTGCCCGCGGCGCGCACCCTAAACTCCTCGCTCCTCTTACCCTGCCGCTGGCTCCGCACCGCCTATTCCGACGCCGCCTGCAGGACTTTGGGGTGGGACGCTGACTTCTCCCGACTGTTTGCCCCCTGGTTTGTAGCTCACCCCTCTCCCTCTCTCTCTCTCTCTCTCATGCGCGCGCTCTCTCCACCTCTCCCTCCCAGCCAGTGAGGTCCTGTTCTCCGTGGGCCATAGACAAAACATTCCTATAATCCGATTTCAAAGGAAAGAGTGTCCACCTTATTTAAACCATAAAACAATTAAGCCCAGACGTCTAGCCAGCTCCGCGCTGCTGTTTTGTTCGGCCCCATTCAGAATCCAGCGCAGGGAGACAAACAACGCCATAAAAGTGGCATTTCGGGGCTGCGGAAATGTACCTATCCGCTGCCTTCCCAAGTGGAACAACCTTTAGGGTTTTGTGATTCTGACAAAGGAGCAAAGGAGAGGTGGGAGGGGAAGATTAGGGCAGGAGGGCGTTTGCTAGCCCCTCTTTCCCCCCACCCCACCCCCAGCTTTCGTTTCTTTCTAGATGTGTGTTGTGTTATGGTTTTAATTCACAAATTGTAATAAATAAAAAAAACTGAATCCAATCCTGACCTGCAGGCTGGAGGCTGAGCTGGAACTGAACAGTGGGCTGGGCCGGGTGGGCCTGCTCTGGATCCCATGCTCTCGCCAGGGCCCTCGGAGCCCCGAGCCCGAGCCCTGCGGCCCTCCTTCCTGTCCGGAGTAAGGCCGCTCTCCGGCGGGCTGCAGGAAGCAGGCCGCGCTGACGGACGAGGGGAGGCGACAGGGCCTTGGAGCAGGGGCGGGGTGGAGGCCCGGAAACGCGGCGGAGCCTGGTCTGGGAGAAAAGCCTGAGTCCCCGCAGTCAGGACTGGCAGTCAGGACCCAGGGACACGGGTGCCCTGGCCTCTGCCCGGAGCGAAACTGAGGCCAGGGTCCCAGAACAGCGAAATGGCCAAAGAGGGGAGTGAGGATTGAGAAAAGAGGATAAACTACAGGCAAAGCACCATTCAAAAGGAGCAAGGAAACAACTGGTTCTGGAATTAGGGAGGCGCTCTCTTCAGTGGGAAAAGAGGAGAGGGTGCTTCAGCCACTGGGAAAACCAGTGTTTGCGACTTTTGATTGCCCCCCTCAAAATATCATCGAAACAAAATGTTTGTGCCTTCCCACCTTCCTCCAGTCCCCGAAATTGGAGTGTTGAATGGAAGGAGGGGGTAGGAGATTCAAATGATGGGGAAGGGGCTGGTCCCTCCAAGTGCCTCACCAATCCTGTAAGGCCATGCGATGGAGGAAGCTGCAGAAGGACTGGGATCCCCAATGATTTTCTTTTATGGTGGTATTCCCCAAGTACTCAGAACAACACCCTGCACCCTCGCCAGAATGGGCAGCCTGAGATATTAAAGCGCTATATTTCAAGTGGTCTGAGTTTAATAGTTTCCAGATTGGGGGATTTCCGAGAAAGGGGGCACCGGGGCCGAGGCATACCCAGCAGCTTGTGTCTGCTTCTGATTAGCAGATGAAAACTGCCGGCGCTGGGGAAGGCGCTCTGGGGTGCAGTGCCACTGACCAGCCCCAATGGGCTGTTGTACATATGGGCCTCTACTCTTATGCCTGGGGTCCCACCACCATCAGGGAACACCCCCTCCAGGCTAATCCCTGACCAGCTTCCTTAGGCCTTGGCCATGTCATCCCCCAGAAACGCTGCAGCCACTCAGCATAACCCTATTACCCCCAAATCAACATTCAAACTAACCACCAGAGAGAGAGAGAGAGAGACTGAGAAGGAAAGAGATCTAGGAGAGGGAGAGAGAGAGAGAGAGAAGCTGAGAATGCATTGAGAAGTTGAAACAAAATCTAATTCAGATTGTATTGGTTTTGCCATCTTTCTCCTTCCTCCTTCTCTCCCTTCCTTCCTTCCCTCCCTACTTCCTCTCTCCCTCCTTCCTTCTCTCCCTCTCTCCCTCCCTCTCCCTCCTCTCTCTCTCTCCCTTCTTTGACTCTCAACGCAGTCCCCAGTGCCTCTTCTGCTCCCTGAGGCCTGCTCAGCCTTCTCCCTCACCGTTCACTGCTCACCGCACACCCTCCCTCCCTCCCAGCCATCCCTCGAAGCACCAATGCAGGCAGGCAAGTATCCAGCCCGGGCCCTCACCCAGCACCCAACTTTCATCTTCACCTATCTCTTCCCTCCGATCTCGTGTACTCATAAATTATTACAATTAATTACAGCCAGGGAAAACCATTCATGCCATGCCCCCACCCCCCACCCCCTGGACTCCATCGAGCTACCAGGAAACTCACAGGCAGCCGGCGGGGCAGGCACAAGCTGGGCCGGGCCTCAGCAGCCTCCACTCCAGCCCTGGGGCCCTCACGCCCACCCCACCCTGCGTGGGGAGCAGCGGCAGGCACTTGCCCTTCCGAGGTAGAGGGAGCCCCTTCCCTGGCTCTGGCTTGCCCCAAAGGAACTGAACACTTGCCTCCTCCACGACAGCAGCCTGGGAGCGAGCCACAGGGAGGAGAAATAACGAGAACTGGATGCGGTTGGGTTTCTGGTTTTTTAAGTGACTTCGATATATTAACACAGAGCTGTTCTAACCATAACAAACAGAAGCACGTTACAGGACGGACGCTGGGGATGAGGAGAAACACCGCTATGTACAAGCCCGAGGCGCCGGCCTGCGCGCCCGACCCAGCCTGCGGCACGGTCCGGGCCCTCGCCCCTCGGCTCCTGGGCTGGGAATTGTTATTGTGTGGGTGTGGGTGTCTTTTTTTGTACAAAATCTGCACGCAGAGCACCCCAGGCCTGGGGAGGGATGGCCCGGACCAAATACGATACAGAAACAAAATAGAGATATAGCGATTCAAGTACTGGCTTCTCTGAAGAAAGGAGGGAAAAAATCACATTTGTGTGTGTTATTTATTTCAGTTGCGCTGGGAGAAGAGAAAGCGGATTCTCTCCCCGCCTCCTGCTCCTCGCTGGGTAGAACTAATTCTAAAACACCAATTTCTCAACACTGAACCCTCCCAAATCGCAAGAGTTTTCCTTTTCCCCCTTCCTTTTTTTTTTTTTTTCTCCTTTTAAGCTGATTGGCTTTTCTCTATCTTGCTCTTTCCTTTTCTTTTCGTGCTCTCTCCCGCCTGGGTTGGGGTATTTTTGTGGGGCTTTTTGTTTTTCCCTTGGCTGTGCCGAGGCAGCAGGCTGGGGCAGGGTTTAGGATTGCTCCTTGTCGGTTTTCTCTTTATTCATCTTTTTCATCTTCATCCTCCGGTTCTGAAACCAGATTTTGACCTGCCGCTCGGTGAGGTTGAGAACCCGGGCCACCTCGTACCGACGGTCCCTGGTTAAATACATATTGAAGAGAAACTCCTTCTCCAGTTCCAGCGTCTGGTACTTGGTGTAGGGGCAGCGCTTCTTCCTCGTGGAGCGGGCGTGAATCCAGTTGGCCACGGGGTTGCCTGGAGGGCCAAACACAGGCAGGGGTCAGTGGAGCCCCTTTCTAGCCCAGGAGCCCTGCCACCCTACCCCCAGACTTAGCCAGGCTCCCCAAATGCAATAATTGAACCTGAATTTGGACACGTTTTGCTTGGGGAATTTTCTCCCTGACTCCTTTTGCATTCTGCCCCCTCCCCACCATCCCCCCTCTTCAATTTCTAGCACCTAAAACCTTAGGAAATCAAAGCTATCAAAGCCCCTCCAGTCTGGTCCTCAGCTTCAAGAGTAGTAATTCGAGAATATGCTCATAAAAAGTCCAAATTCCCAACCGTTTCATAGGCCCATAAACGCTTCTCTCTCTTGTTTTTTATTTTTATAGCGAGGTCTCTCTCCTCCCCACTTCCCTCCTCCTCTGCCCCCTCCCATCCTCCCAGCCCACGACCAAGTCCTGAAATTTCAGCAGTTCTGTTTCCTGACCCTGAGAGTCCCTAAGCCCCTCACTACCCTCTTCAGCGCCCGGCTCCGCTCTCGGAGTTCAACCCTGCTGAAGCGAATTCTCAGAGTGATGCTAGAATGGGGAAAGCCTTTCTCCTCTCCCCAGAGACCTACTGGCCTTGGGACAGGCTCCCCCATATCTTAGCTTCCCTGTTAGGCTTCCAGTGCCCTCCTCCTGCCAGCCCCAGGACAGGCTCTGCAGGAGCCAAGCCTCCAATTTCAGGTTTATGGGAGTAGCTGAGGGCAAGGAGGGAAGCCTTCAGAGGGGTATAATTAGGCCCTGGCCCCTTATGGGGCTGGAGGAAAGGATTTCCTGCAGCCCCCTCCTGGGACTCCCCCAGACACTTCCTCACACCCAGGGGCTGCACCCCCTCCCCTGCTGTTTCCCCTTCTTTCCCCTTTCTCTGGCCCAGCAGCTCCCACCTGCCCCCCCAGCCCCACCTACTCCTGCCCTTCTGTGCAATACTCAGAAGGCTCCAGTCTCCTTGATGGGAGTGTGTGTGTGTGTGTGTGTGTATAATTCTCTAATCTGGGGGAGATGCTCCCCCCCATTCCTCATCCCTGAGCCCAGTTCTCAACCCTCTTTCCTGCAGACCCTCAGAAGAGGGCTCTCAAGTTTAAGGAGACTGGGACCCCACTTCTCTTCCCCAACTCTGCAAGTCCTGATTTCTCCAAGTTCCCAGGCTGTGAAATCCCCCAGACCTCTCACCCAGTGCTCCTGGGGGGAGAAGAAGTCCATGCACCTTCTGTTTAATGAATCCCTGGTGGGGTAAGAACCCCCATGCTGGCTGGGAGGTAGGGGTGATTTTTCTCCCTGGGGTATTTCCTCTCTGTCCCCAGTGTCCTCCTCATCTCTCCCCCAGTCCCACCTCAAACCATAAAATGAACCTCACCCCCCACCCCATCCCCTGGCCCTGTCTGCATTTCTTGGAAAGTAGCGACTGAGCCAAAAAGCCTGGGCTGGGGGTGGGGTGGGGGGTCTCTCGTCAAAGCCAGCTCCAGGGAGAGGAGCCCCCCTCAGCCCTCTCCCAACCTGGCTCCCCGGGCTCCCTTCTCAGACCTTCCTGCCCCTGAAAGCTCCCCAAGGTAATTCGCTTTTATTGAGTCCTCGCCCCCTCGCCCTCGCCCCTCTCCCGCGCTCCCTGCGCTGCTCCGAGGGGCTGTAATCTGGCTCCCCCCGCCCGGCCTCCCCTCCCCTCCCGCGCCGGTTGTAAAGGAAAATTGCTCCCAACTTACTGGGGTCCAGGTCGGCCTTCTCCTCTTTGTGCTTGCTGCCGGCGAGCGCGTCCGCCTCGGGCGAGGGCAGGGTCTGCGGGGCGCGGTCGCGCAGCTCCCCGGGCGAGCCGTACATGTAGTCCGGGTAGCTGCGGCCGTCGCCCGGGCCGCAGTCGGCGCGGCGCCCGGGGTAGGCGTCCGGCTTGAGGGCGTAGTGACGGCCCCCGGCCGGGAAGCTGGGGAAGGAGACGGCGCCGGACAGCGGCTCGAGCCAAGTCCGCATGTAGCGCGTGTCGGCGCCGAGGTGGGGCTGGGGGCCGTACGGGTGGTACACCACGGACGACTGCGAGGGCACGGGCGCCCACGACGTGCTGAACACTGCCGGCTTGGGCGCGAAGCTACAGGACGGAAAATCGCTACAGTCCGGCACCAAACCGCTGGGTCTGGCGGCGGCGGGGTGAGCCCCCGTGGCCGGAAACCTGGACGCTAGGAGGTCTTCATTGTCGTGAGAGATGAGCGAGTCCACGTAATAGTTACTGATGGGCCCCGTCGCCGACATCGTAACAGGGTTTTACATACATAAGATTATTGTATGAACTGTATATGTACTTTTTATCTGCTCACAGAACAATCAAGGCAGGTAATTATTTTTCCAGCCTTTTCCCCGCAGCTCATTGGCTCCCCGGCCCCCACGTGATCGTATTTACCCAAAAATACGGCGCGGATCAATGCGCAGGGGCTTTTTTTTCCTTGCTTTTTTTTTTTCCCCCTTCTCCCACCCCCTTCTCTCTGCTGATCCCCGCGACCTATGTTTTCCTGGGGGTCCGGAACTCTGGACCCCAGGCACCGGCCACCCCCTCAGGACAACTCGTATCTCATCAGAGCACCCCCTTGCCCACGTCCACCCATAAGCAGATGGCCTCTCGCACCGCCCCCCACCCTGGAGGATTTTTTAATGGGGTGAAAATGCCAGTCCCCGAAGCCAGGGTTCCCGGACCCCCAGGGTCGAGCTGGGCGCGGGAGCCCCGCAGGGGCGGAGAGGCCGGCCGAGGTAGGTGGAGGAACTATTTCTTGACGTAATCCGTCTCTGTCGGCCCCGACGCTCCCGCAGTCTCTGCGCGAGCCGAGATCAGCGATTGTCAGTTCGGAACGTGGCTTTTAAAAATGCGTTTTTAAATAGTGTATATGTATGTATTTCTTTCAGGAGCAGCAGCAGCGAGGGAGGGAGGGTGTGGGAGGGGACTGGGGAAGCTGGGGTGGAGGGAGGGAGGGAAGGAGGGAAAGGGGAGCGTCCTTCTGCCACTGGCCAACTCAGCCCCCCAAATCTGGGGTAGGGCAGCTTGGGGAAGGTGGTCTGCGTGTGGGAGGGGGAGGACCTCGGGACCTCATACACCTTTATCATCAGAAGTCCTCTCTTTGCTTTGGCACAGATATGCAAGCTCCTTTATTTTAAATTTATTGTCTATATCTATTTATCCTTCTTTGCCAGCTTGAAGAAGTGGAGGAGAGATCAGCACAAGTTAAGTGGGGCGTCCCCATCCTGTCTTCCTGCTCACCCTCCTTTGCCCCCAACTCCATCTCTGCGACACCCTGCCCCCCCCCCCAAAGAAGTCACTCCAGGACTCTGTCTGCAGAGAGCCAGGGTGAGAGCGGGCAAGGCGAGAGAGAGCGACCTCGGTCGTGGGCAAGTAGCTTGTTTTTACGTCCTTCAATAAAATTTTTATGAGGATCATTTGATTGTTCATAAATGTGTCTTTCATTAAATAAAATTGTAGGCTGTTTTTGGAACGGGAAAAAAAGCAACGGAGGGATGGGAGAAAGCAGGAGGGATGGGAGAAAGCAATTTCTTTGGGGTCGGACGCAGGAATTCTGGAGGGGGCAGTGTGATTGTGGGGAAGATCAGACAACTTCGATTCCTCCCCCCAATAAGTTTGTTGCTACCCTCTTCCTTGAATTTGGGGTTTGTCGCCCAGCCCTCTGCTTTCCATCAGACTGCCCCATGGTGGTTTAGTAAAGGTGGGCTTTTGGCAAGCAGGAAATTCTCAGTGTGGGTGCAAGAGAGGGGGGCAGGGAGGTTGGCTGGGGGGTAGCGAGAAGGGCAGGTGACATCCCCCAGAGACATGATGCACCCTAGGGAAGACAGAGTGAGTTTGAAGGAGGGGTGCAATTTCAGGGTCAGAAGAGGAGAGTCCCAGTTTGTGCTATGGGAAATAGGCAGGAGCTGAGGCTGAGACACAGGTTATGAGGCAGCAGGGAAGGACAAGGATTCCCAGACGGGAGACGCCTGCCCTTCTTTCCCACTCCTGTCCCCAGGAGGGGACCAAACGCTGGGGGCCGGGGTGGAGGATGGTTTTCTCCTGCATCTCTGTCGACCTTTCTCCTCTAGGGTGGAGGAGGGCTAGAGAGAGGTGTCCCAGAGAGTGTAGCATGTGTGTTATGGGGGGGGGGGGAGAAAGTTGGGGGGGAGGGTAGATCTGCAGCTCGCAGCACTGACCCCAGCTTTCCAAGTCCCCTCCCCAGTCCCTGCTCCTCCCCCTCTCCGGTTCTTTCCTTTTCGGTCTAGCGGGGCTGGGATTTCGACCCACGGAGGGTGTGTGAGAAGTGCCTGGCTGGGGATAGACAACCCGGGGCCTCAGCCTCCTCGCCCTCAGCTCTGATTGTCTTCCCCTCCCCCGGACTGGACTGGTGTGGGAAATCCAAATTATAGCAAGAAACAGAATATCTCTTTGGCCTTGATGGAGTCGGGTTAGCTGTCAATCAAACATTCTCCCTCACTAGTTCAAGGAAAAGACAGGAGGGAACCGAGGCTTTCTCCAAATCCCCAGCACCGTCAGCACCTCCCCCAGCCCTGGCGGCTGGGGACCCTGCCCGGCTCTTGGGCGGCTGCTGGCAGCACTGAGCAGAGACGTGTAGCCTTCAGCGGGCCCGGGACCAGACAGAGACCTAGAGGACATCAGGGGACAGAGCCTGAGAGAGACTGAGCCTGAAACGTAACAACTGAAACACGGCGCCAGGCCCAAGGAGAGGAAGGAAGGAGGGAAAGAGAGAAGAAAATGGAGGATTGAGATTAAAAAAAAAAAAGAGAGGGGAGAATTAAAGGAAAGGGGGGGCAAGATGAAAAGAGATGGGAGAGCAGGGAGACGAAGGCGTGCAGCGAGCGAGAGGGAGGAAGGGCGGCGATAGGCAGGCGGGACGGGGCAGGGCGCGAGCTGGGAGCAGCCGTGGCATTGTGCAGTCCGCTGGCTTGCCGGGCCTTTGCCGTGGGACCGGCTCCGGGCGCGGCGGCCACTTCTGTCCGGACACAAAGGAGGAAGAGGCCTCCTCTCCTGCCCCTCCCGGGCGACCTGCTGCGGTGGGTACACTAGGCCTCTGGAGGATGTAGAACCCCATCTCAGCCCAGGCAGCCACCCAGGCGTCTGGGGGCTGAGCCACGCTCTAGTCTAGGAGCAAAGAAGACACGATGAAGGAGAAGGTCTCACGCCCCACTCCTCCTTTTGCGTCTTTGCCAGTCGACCGGGCCCATCTGCCCCAACCTCAGTTTTCCTAGAAGAAAGGTGCCCCTAAAGACCCTTTCCTATGGGTCTCTACTATTTGGGAGAGCCCCTCAGACATAGTGGCCATAAACAGATGCCCCTTTCTGTCCTACGCCCCTTGGCCACTACCTTTTTTTCAACTCTTGAGCTGCCTGCCCACCCTGCTTGCCCACCCAGCAGAGGCAGCCACAGCGGGGCAGCCCGGATCACCCGGCCCAGGCTCCCTGCTGCCATCAATTCCCCGTGAAACTGAGGGGAGATTGTCGCCTTTGCCTGAGAGCGCAAACTCAGACCCTCCCCACTCAGGCCCAGACACAGCTGTGGATCAGGAAGCAGGCCTCGCCCACAGCCCCCTCCCCACGGATGCCCCGGTTTGCCTAGGCCTTGCGGAGAGCAGCAGTCCCGAGGAGGGGGGCTGGAAGGGGCTGGGCGTCCCTGAGTTCCCCAGGCCGAGGTCCCTCGGGTTCCACAACTGCATGTGGGCTGTACCAGTCGTCTCTGCATTTGGAGGTGGGATGGCAGGTCAGGGCTCTGAAGCAGAACTTCAGGCTAGCCCCAAACCCCGGCCTGTGGATGTGGGGGCATCAATAAGGAGGGGCCTGTCTTTCCAGGCTCACCTACTCCTGCTGCATCTCCTCCCAGATTCTCAGACTCCCTGTCACCCCCCAGCACGCCCTCCAATTTTCCTCAGCACCGATGGGGCAAACCCGAGGGACTGGAGGACACAGGGAGTCCCTGTTGGCTGGGGGGGGGGGATACCCCAGCTTTAGCTTGCAGCTCTGCATTCACTCTGGTTCTTAGAGCTTGCCTCCGACCCCAGAAGAATTCACTAGGCACAGGAGATCCCCCTAAGGGGGAGGGGCACCCTTACTCCATCACCTCAGACCTGCACAGCTGCGACCACAACCAAGCTAGCACCATCATGCGAAGGACAGACAGACAGAGAGACAGACAGGTTAGAGTCATCCCCTCCCCTTGCCCTGCGCCTCCCTCTTAGTGATTTAAATTCCCTCCGGTTCAATCCACACCGTCAAGTTCGGATTAAATTTAAAACAGGCTTTTCCCGGTCCCCAGCCGCCGCAGGCAGGGAGCCCCACTCCCCGGGCTCGTCAGCACCCGCCCGCGCGGAGGAGGCCGTGCTCCATTTGCTTTCATTTTCCTTCTCCCCCTGAAATGGGCTCATTTCACCTCTCGGCTGCCCTCTCCCCCTCCCCGCCCCCTCCTCGGTTCCCCTCTACTTTCCCCCCTTCTCGCTCCTGATCCCTCTTTGTTGGGAAAAACACACCCACACACAACTCCTCCGAGCTAAGGCCTGCGCTGGAAGCAGAAACTGAATTCTCCTGGCCCGCCGCGAGGAGACCGCGTCCTGCCCCCACCCCAGGTGGGTATCCGGGATCCCTACACGCCAGGAGCCAGGGCCCTAAGCCCAGCAGGAGTGAAACCCCTAGGGCCTGTGAACGTGGCCCTCTCAACGCCACGGCCTGCATTCCCGCCGGCCCCCCGCCCTCCCGCCCCGCAGCAAACGGGGCTATTTCCGGCTCCCCCAACCCGGTCTGGTCTCCCAGCCTGGGGAGTGGCTGAGGGAGGAGCGGCCCCAGAACTGGGGGTGCTCTCTGCCTGAAGCCCCCATGGCTCGGGGCGCCTTGTTACCTGATCTTTGTGTGATGTGTGTGTGTCGCAAGGAAATTTGCAGTGACTTTGGAGCCCAGACTGAGGAAGCCGAGGTGGCGAAAGGAGAGACAATACGGGCCCGAAGTACAATTAAGGGGCCAGAGCCGCTAGTCTCTCCCCCGCCCTCCCTGCCAGACTAGGAGCTGTCTGGCCTCAAACCTCAGGGCAACCCGCGAACCTGGAGCCGGAAACTCAGCCCATGGCGGAGGGAACCAGAGGATCCGGCAACCAGAAAGCTGGAGGAAAGCTCCCTTCCAACTTGGGGGCGCAGCAGCCAGCCCCGCTGAGTTGCCGAGAATCCAATGAATGAAAGTGCACATTCCGACGAAATTTCCCGATTTTTTCAGCCTTTGGAAGGAGAGCCTAGGGTTTGGGACGTCTCAGACAGACAGACAGGCAGGCAAACCGCGTCTCCGGAGGCAGACAGACTCACAACATGAGTGTGAGCCTAAAATCAAATACAGGTTCAACATTCCCGAGGCCTCTCTGCCAGGCCGGCCGGGCGCCGATCTCCCTACCTTCTCTCCCCTCCAGGGCGCTGCGCAGAGACCCGGAAGACTCGGTCCCTCTGGCTTGGTCCAATCCCGCCTCGGGAAGCGCCTTCGTTACCTGCTCCTCGGCTCCCCACGGCCACAGATGCAGGGCAGCCGCCTCCCGCCGGGGGAGGGAAGCCCCGGCCACCGCAGCCGCCGCTGCCCGCCCTCCTTCCCTCCCTCCCTCCCTCTTTCTCGCCCTCCCTCCCTCTCTCCCTCCCTCGCGCGCTGCCGCTCGCGGGGCCCTCCCGCGGGCAACCTGTTCTGGACCAAATCCAGGTATCTCCGAAAGAGAGAGAGAGAGAAAGAAAGGACCTCTTATGTGGAAAAGAAAGAAAGACCCTTAACCGCGTTTATTTTCCATGCTCTGACCACTGGCCGGCCTCCGTGCAGACGCCCAGGACCCGGCCCTGCAGCGGCAGAGGTGTGCGGGGCCTGCTGCCTCGCCCACGCGGACCGCCGCGCCCCGCGCCCTGCGCGCTCCACACTCCGGGCCGCCGCCCCCCGGCAGCCCAAACACCACACAGACCTCAAGGTCCTTCCTACAGACTCCACATCCGGTTGCCCGCCTCGCGGCTGGCCTCCGCCCCGGAGCCCGCTCTGCTCCGTCTGCGGCCAAAGTCCACACACAATCCACCTTGTCCGAGCCCTCGCGCCGGGTCGGACACCCCTCGTAGCCAAGGCGCCCGCCGGGCCACCCTCGGGCCGCGACCCTGCCCCGGACTGCAAACCCCCTCCCCTGCACGGGACCCACACAAAGCCCAGTGCCCACCCGCAGCCCGCAGCCCCCCGCCGCCGCTGCCCTTCACCTGTTCCCGAGAAAGGCTGTATCTCCGAGCCGAGGCAAGGCCGTGGGCCCGGGCGGAGGGTGCCGGGGAGCCGGGGAGCCGAGGTCCCGGGGAGGCCACAGAGGATCGGCCGGGCTAAGCCGGAGCCCCAGCAGCCCGCGAGTTATCTCAGAGACCAAGGCTCTCCTTGGTGAGCTCTTGCCTTTTCCTCCGTCTCCCGCAAGTCTTAAACACTCACACGCCAGGAGTTCAGCTCTATAAATCCTGCTCCTCTTTCCCATATCATAATTAAAAAAAACCAGTAGGGGAGGTTTTAACTTTTATTGCGATTTCTGGAGTTGGGCTGCGGAGCATATATTAAGTTTACGCTTATGCGCTCTCGGCGGGGAGGGTCCTTTAAGAAATAAAAATCCATCTTAATATCCGCAGACGAGAGAGATAATTTTTTCCCTCCTCTTCACGCTGTTTCTTCTAAAGACTCCCTTCCAGCGAAGCGAATAAATAATCACCATCGCTTTAGCCATAATCTATGGTCCCAGGGCCCCGGGGTGGACTCTGGCCACCAGACTGCCCCTCACCTTGGCCCGATGAGAACTCACCCCATTCCCCAGGATCTGGGAAGGGGGACACCCCAGACTCATGGCTCTGTGGCCACCCCCCCAGAAGCCCACCGACACTGAAACGGAAATGGGGGCAGAGAGAGACTCAAAGCGCAAAAGTCGTTCATTGGTGAATTTCGGCCCATCAGGGACACTCTCTCCAAGCCAGGCACTCCTGAACACCCCGCCCCTGCCTGGGACTCCCTTCACTCCAACTGGCCCTGTGATTCTGACAGCTTGAACGCTCAGAGACTGCTAGGGGCTCCCAAACCAGGGGAGCCCCTGCCTGCCTTGCACCAGCTGGCCTTCCTCTCTGAAAACCTCCCTATTTCCCCGGGAGCCATAGAGAGATTTGAGCATTTCCCTTCAAGGGAAGAGATTATTTTCTCCCACAAAGGGCTGGGGGAGAGACAGAAAGACAGACTAACAAACTCAGCTAGGGAGAAGAAAGGCTCTATTCCCATTTTCTCCTCTAGCCTCCTTGGGGTCAAAAGAAATCTCTTTGTATAAGAGAGAGAGAAAAAAATACACAAAGTATGCTTGTAAAAATATACTGGGAATTTGAGAGAGTCTGGAGAAGACAGAGAGTAACAGAGACCCACACTCATATACAAGGTTAGATATATCCCCCCAGCAGACCACTGTGAAAATATATAACTCTGTGTATATATTTTGTAACAGGGACATAATTTTGTTCCCCTGTCTCAAAGTTTATAACGCTTTAAAAATCATAATAATTCCAAAGTAAGAGAACCAGGAGCCTGTCCTTCTCCTTTTGGCTTTCTCTTTCCCAGTCTCTCTGAGAACAGGGGTGTATCTCCCCATTCTCCCTGACCCCCTCCCATTTTTCTCCGCAGGCAGAGAAGCCTCTTCTCTCTAGCAACCAGGGTCAGAATTGAGGAACCAGGTGGGGAAAGGAGGGGGGAAGAAGCTTTGCAAAGTTTCACATTGCTCAGATTCTCCTTTACTCCATTATCCTCCCCTCCTCCCCCTGGCATCAGCCAACAACCTTCCCAACAAAATATGGTAATGGTGAGCGCTGGCAGCCTCCGTTCACCCAGACATCTCCACACAGCGCAAAGACAAGCAGCTGCCTGATAGCCAGAGACACAACAGGCCAAAGCGTATGGGCCACAGACAGCTACACAGAGACTAGAGCCAGGTTCCTGCCCTGATGTTTCCCAGTAGGGTGTGTGTGGGTGGGGGGGGGGTTCTACTTGGACTTGATGGCTTTCCTCTAACCTACTAATACCCTAAATATGCCCTTCTCATGGGGATGGAGCTATAGAAAGGGAAGGGGAGGTGGCTGAGCTGGTGCTCAGAGTTCCCCAACTCTTGGAACCCCCTCCCCCCCACAAGGCACTCCACTTGTCTAAGGGGAAGCTCCAGCCCCAGCCAACTGGAGGCAGGTTTTTGTCTTTGGAGGTTGGCAGGTGAGAAAAGCTAGCCCTTCCAGAGACTCCCTTCTCTTTCTGTGTTCTTCTCTCTCCTGATCCTGCCCCACCCTGCTGCCCAACTGAGCTGGCCCACTAGGCCACCTCTTACTCAAATTCCTCAATTTCCTTGGAATTGGCTAGACTTTCTTTGTCTGTCTCCATCAGCTGGGCCCAGGAAACAATAGCTGCAGGAAAAACTCCTCTCCCTCAGTCACAGGGATTGGGACAGGCTGAGGAGTGGACAGTATAAAGCGGGGCTCCCCAGACTTGTCCTGCGGCCCCAGTCACAGCTTGCCCTCCTCAGTCTGTACCCATTTTGCCCTATCTGGGAGGGGGCTGTGGGGCAGTCCCACTAGGGAGGGAAGGAGCGGGGTAGGTGGGTTGGGGCCCTCGACGAAAACCGACTGATGTAACTCAGGCAGTTTCTTGTTGCCGAGTTCAAAACTCAATCCCAACAACATGAAACTACCTAAGCCACAGATCAGCTGAGCGAGCAGGGCGGGAGATTCGGCTTTGCATCTATCGGGAGGAGAAGGGAAGGGGGTTGGGGAAGGAAGAAATTCAGCCCCGTCCCCCTTTCCGCCCCCACAACCTCCCTAAGGACTAGAGAGTAGACTTTGGGTGGCTGGGTGGGTAGGGGGTCTGACTGCCTCAACAGCGTCTGGTCTAAGCAAATTGCTCAGGGAAGCTCTGGTGAAATGGGACCTCCAGCTGCCAAACCCCCGCCCCGCCCCCAGCACCACAGTGGAGTTATTCCCCTGCCTCTGGCCCTGGCCCTGGGGGAAGCTGGAGTGTCCTTCCACTCTTGAGCTGGGTCCCCTGTCTTGTCCATCTGGCTCTCCTGCGCTCTCCTCCTGGATTCCCTCTGATCCTCTCCCTCTCTCAGCTCTGCTTTGCTTCCCTGCCTCTATGGGTGGCCGGGTGGCCGACCCAAGGAGTCTGTGCTTCAGACCCTCTTCCCATCAGGCCACTTGCCTGGCAAAGCCCCGCGGCCAGGGAGCGTGGGGACTGAGAGCCTGAATAAGGCTCAGATCCAAACCAGCAGAAAGCAGGAAACCTAAGCTTCAAGCTCTAGCCCTCTCAAGCCCACCCTCCCTCTTCTTCCCCCAACAGACGACCAGACTGAGCGACATCTAGATCCATGCGTCGACCTCGAGGCAACCCTAAGTGCCCGCGCAGAGAAAGAAGCCAAAAACCACCGATTTACCCCTTTAACCGCCGAACCCCACGGCAGCGGGTCGGGGAGGGGAGGAGAAGGAGCTCCCGGCCACTGCCCTCCGCTGCCAGCGGCCACAAGGCAAGCCTGGGCTCTCAGCAGGCTCGGACACCCGAAACACCTTCCTCCCTGTTGTGCCCGCTGCCCGCCGGGCACCTGGGGATGCCGCTGGTCCCCACTCCGCCGCCAAGAGAAGAACAAGAAACCGCTTCTCTTACCTTGTCGCCGCCTCCTCCTCCTGCCTCCGCCCGGGCTTCTGCTGCTGCTGTCGAGGTGGGGGGGTGGCTGAGCTCCTCGTCCCCCTCCGGCGGTTAAGTTTATTCCTCTCTTTGGATAGGTGGGGGGCTCTTGGGGTTCCCCCAGCCGCGGTGGGGTGCGCCTGGCCCAGCACCCCAGGCAATCAGATCCGTCTGCTCCTCAAGATTGCAGTTTGCTCTCTGCCTCTTTCCCTCCTCCAGTCACCTTTAAATGCATCTTTTACTGCAGCACCACATTATATTTGCAGATCATAAAATCCACCTCTCGCGCGCACCAAGACCGTCCTGACATTACTGTTTTATGACCTTGACTTATTGTGGTCACCTGGATAATATTTAAATCAACGTTATGGTCTCTCACTTACATTAAACCCGCCAAGAGACATTCTAGAAAGGCTCTAGGAGATGAGTCGAACACAAAACACACACATCCACACACTCAGTCTCTTTTGGGGTGGGGGTGTTGCTAAAAAACACTTAAAAACAAAAAACCACCCATTTGAACATTACGATTCTGGAAATTTATTAGGATTTTCTTTTCCATTAAGGAAGCTACATGCAAAAGATACAACATACAGAATATCTTTAAATAACACAACTCCCAGACAGGGACAGGGCGATATTTAAAGGGGGAGGGGCAGTCTGTCTTTGCTTCACTATGTTCTATTTTTAATTTTTAAAATTTTTTGTATTCCTCTGGATGGAATTTCTGAGGTGTCAGTGGCGGGGGGAATGTGTGGGGTCTTGGGAGGATGGGAGAAAAGCAGAAAGCAGTACAAATACGAGACTTCAAGCAGATTCTCAGAGCAACTGGGAGGTAAAGACACGGAGAGGGTTTGGTGGAGGCGCTGGGCGCTAGGACAAACACACAAACACTAGCTGAACTTTCCAAAACGTCTATTATCCTAAGGAGGAAATGCAGCAAGGAAGGAGCGATTCTGACTGTGCTCTGCGAGATTACAGACCTTCTCCGGTTGATTTTTTTTCCTCTTTTTCCCCCTATGATCGGGTGGATTCGACCTTAACTTTGCATGGAGGACAGGATGGTGTGTGTGAGTGCGTGGGTGAGTGAGGGGTTGACACACACACCAGCCACACTCCCACCCTCATCTATGCGGGCACACCACACCCCACACCCCGGCACCCCATTTCTCATGCTTGAGGTGGATGCATCTTCGCAGCACGAACCATAGGTCCCTTGGAAGGAGAGTCTGAGGTCTTTGCCTTTTTTTGCAGGCGCGTTGCATTTATACTCAGGGAGGAAAAAAAAATATACCACCAGGCACAAAGGGAGGAGGGGCGGGGAGAGGAAGGAGTAGGGAGAGAGGGGAGGGGGAGGGGAGGCCGCGCGCTCAGGTGAAATTAAAATTGGAGGTCAGTTCCCGGATCCGATTCTCTCGGTTCATTTTCTTGAGTTTCATTCTGCGATTTTGAAACCAGATTTTGACTTGTCTGTCTGTAAGGTTAATGGTCTTGCTAATCTCCAGGCGGCGCTCTCGCGTCAAATACATATTGAACAGAAATTCTTTCTCCAATTCCAGCGTCTGGTGTTTAGTATAGGGGCACCTCTTCTTCCTTCCGCTCTTTGCTGTCAGCCAATTTCCTGTGGTGTTTTCTGCCTTTATCTCCTCTGTTAAAAATAACATTATTTACATAAGTATCCCTCGAAGAGGCAAACCCTCACAGCATGCTGCAGCCTTGACCGGCCTGCTGTGGGGGCGGCTCAGGGAGCACAGGGGAGCTGTTCTCACCCCACAGGCCTGGCTGGTGGAGTCCTCTTGGGCTCAGGGCTCTTAGAATTTCTTTGGGGTCTAGACTTACATGGGGAAAGACAGAAAGCTCTTGCCTCCAAAGCATTTATTAATTAAATGACCCAAATCCACCTTGACCTAGCAGATTCTGAGTACTCCCACTCTCCCTCAGCTTCCTGACCCTGGCGGGCACTCTCAACCTCACCAGGCCCTCCCTCCTCTCTGTTCCATTCCAGTTCTGGAAAAATCCAACTAGAAGGAAAAGCGCTTCCCAGGCCCCAGGCGGGGTTGCAGAGTGCACCCTGCTGCCTAGAGCAATTCCCAGAGAGCTTTGACCCCTTTCAACTCAGTGGAGGGACAGAGGGACGTGGCCTTAGTCCCTATGGCCAGAGGCCATTGCAGTTGTCCCTGTACCAGACCCCCAGCCCTTGTTCCCACCTGAAGTGCCACAGAGCAACTCTGCCCCTTTCAATCTCCCGTTGCCAGTTCTTCCTCTCCTGGCCATTTCCCCCAGGTGTGAGTGGCTGAAGCCGGGTTGCTTGTGAAGGCAGCGGAGGTCAGGGGCAACAGCTCTGGGGCATGCTGAGGGGTCCTCAGACAACTGCCCTAGCCATAGGACCTAAGGTCAAGGGAGAGAGATATCCTGAGGAAATGCAGCCTCCTGGAAATCTCCATCTAGTCTCTATAGATATGAATGCCTGTATGTACATGTATATTCCTGTAGAGATACACACTCCTACACAAATGTACACACACACATCTGTACACATGTGTCTATTGATAGAAGGAGATGCTATAGATTTAGTGTGTATTTCCCATTATCTTATTGACAGCTTCTCTCCCTGGTACACATTCTTGCTGAAATGGACCAGCCTTGCTCCTCAAGCAGCAGGAGAACCCTTGGCCATCCTTCCTACGAAAAAAACCCCAGAGTCCAGAGACCCAAGAAGGGCACCCTGCAAAGGTGGCTGCTGGTGGCTCTATACTCTATCTCCCGCCTTTGCCAAAAGGAACTGCCAGACTCCTGGATCTCATCTTGATGGGGAGTGAGGCAGGGGCCCTAGGGGAACCGAGAGGCACCAGGGGAAAAAAAAAAAAAAAAGGCAAAGTTGAGGCTGTAGTTTAAGACGTCTGAATCTTCTTACTTCTGCTCCCGCCTCTGCACCTGCAGCCTCTTGCCAAATTGTTTAAAGGTTCTCATTTTCTCATTGGGGTTGTTGGGTTTTGGGGGAAGGGAGAAATTACAAATTGGGAAGTCTGGCCAAAAGCCCTCTTGCCTCTGGCCTGGTGGAGACACCATGGGGGGGGGGGAGTGGAGGCAAGAAGGGCACAGGCAAAATGCAGACTGAGAGGGATTAGTTGGGGTGGAAGGGCTTAGGTTGTTGTGGGGAGGGCAGGGGAGAAAGGGGAGCCTACCGGAATGGGGGCAGTTCGTGTTGGGAGGTAGGCTTGTTAACCTTGACTTTGCTTTTGGTGGGGCTAGGACACAGCTTTTCCTACCCTAGAATTCTTTCCCAACAAAGCTCAGGGTCTGGGGAGAGGGCACAAAACTAAGCTTTCCTGCTGCACATGTGTCACAGGGAAGCTTCGTGGGTGTGGGTAGCTCACTCCCTCCCTCAGCCTCATGAACACACCCGTGCTCATCTTCTGGCTGGGCTCTCTATGGGCTGATTTGCCAAGGCCACCTTTGCAAAGGAGACCCAAGAGAGCAAGGCTCTGCCCTTGCCCGCCAAAACAGTGCGTGTGTGTGTGTGTGTGTGTGTGTGAGCGGGCATGCGTGAGTGTGCGCGAAGCATGCGAGAGGCGTGTGTGTGTGTGACACAGGTCGCCGCCAGGCACGCGTGTGCGCCGCATCCATATACAAAGCGCCACAAGATCCAGGCCATCCCCAGTCTGCTCAGCTCTCAGGATCTCATCTGCCTCTACATCCAACGAGCCCCACTTATATACAGCCTCCAGTAGTCAGTGCCATGGGAAACAGGTTTATTCCTCTCCTCCCAGTTGGGCCTTTCTGGATGCTTTTTGCTCCAACTTTTCAGGGAAAGTCGGTCCCCTCAGGCTCCCTCCACTGCTCCCGTTTCCTCCACATTCTTTCTCCAGGCGTCAGAGAAAGGTCCTGGAGGCCCCCAGTTCCTGCCACAGAAATGAATCTTGAACCCTGAGCTTGAACTCTGGCTAGGCTTTCTCTTTCCAGGCAAAATCACAATGAAATCCAACTAAAGCAACACTCCCTTTCAGGAGAAAACCGCTTGCCACGCACACAGAAATTTCCCAACCACTCATTTGTAAGCTGCTTTGGGCAAAGAACGAAAAAATATTTTTTTAATTTAACTAGAAAAAGAAAAAGAAGAAGAAATTTAACAGGGGAGACAAGAAACTTACAACATTCCAAATGCCCTGTTCCAACGCCGATCCCAAGCCAGGCGTCTGGGGGAGGAGGGCCGTGGCAGGCAGCCCATCACCTCCACCTCTTTCCACCCCAGCCCCCGCTGCCCGAGGCCCCCCGGCCGAGCCCAAACCGCAGGAGCGCACACCACACACGCAAATCAGACCCACAAACAACAAATCGCGCTTCGAAGGAAACAATTTTCTACTGGGAAAACGCAGTAAAGAGAAATCCCCCTTCTCCCAAGCCTTCCCCAGTCCCTGGCCCAAGATCGCCATTTTAAGCTTTTTGCAAGCTTCTGACCCGAACGAGGGACATCAGCTCCCCAAGTCACCACCATAGAGCAAGCAAACCAAAGCCAGCAAGCGCCCGGGAGCCGTCATCAGCCCTGGGCAGCAGCAGGCGCCCGCAGGCTGCCCGCGGTGCGCACCCCTCCCGGGTCTCGGCGCCCCCCGGCCGCTGCCGGCCCGGCCCCTCCACTCTGCCGCTTACCTTCCTTAGCCAAATGACGCGCCACCAGCCTGGCGCTCAGCAGACACGAGTCGCAAGCAGGGATCGCATTCCCTGGACTGTCCAGGGCCTCCTCGGCCCAACCCTCCCCGCTGCCCCAGCCCCGGCCACGCAGACCAAGTGTCCGAGCGTCCCAGCCGGGCCGCCGCGGCCCAGGCAGCCTTACCTTTCGCTTCGTTATCCGAGGTGTCTGGGCTGGAGTCCGCGGTTTTGGCCCGCTCCTTTTCTCTCTCCAAGGGGCTGCCTTTTGGGCCCGCCAGGCTCTGCTCGGTCTTGATCTCACTGGGGCTAGGGGTCTGGCTGTCGGACTTGGGGGTCTCAGGGAAACTCACTTTGCCCCCGAGCTGGGGCGACTCCAGATGTTCGGCGCGCGGGTTGAGACCGGCCCGCTGCTCAAAAGGGGCTTCGAAGTCGTTGGCCCCGGCACAGTGGGGCGGCTTGTCCAGCGCGGAGTAGCTCGGGCTGGCGCGGTAGTAGCTGGGCACGGGCACCTCGTGCTCCCCGAGGCAGGACTCCTGCAGGGGGTGGGAGTAGAGAGCTGCCTCGGGGCCACTTTTCGCCCGCTTCTCTGCGCTGTACATGCAGCAGACATTCTCCTCCTTGACACTAGGTGGGTAGGAGCAGGAGGACAGCGGCCTGCCAACAGGTTGTTCCAGGCGGTAGGTGGCTTTGGGGTCGCCCCAGGAGTCCAGCTGCGAGAGGTAGGACGGGTAGGTGTTGAGGGCGAGGTTGGGACTGCTGCCCTCGTCCCTCTTGGAGAGCGAGGGCGCGAGCCCGCAGCCCCTCATCACCCCGCAGTTGAAGTCACTCCCAGATTGCATATACATGCCTGCGCTCCGGCTATAGCGCTCTCCTCCGCCCGGCGCAGCCAAGGGCTCAGCGTACGAGTTCGGAGTTACATTGCGAGGGCATGTCATTTTCAGAGAGAGGGGTTTTTAAGGAGCAATACTACAGCGGAGGAGCTGACATCTTTTTTTTTCCCCATCCGGGAGGGGGGGCGGTTGGAGGGGCGGGAGGGAAAAGAAGGGGGGGGAATATCAGCTCCATAATTATCCGCGCATTCGGTCCTCACCATGTGACGGCTAGACCAATGGGATTTGAAAATGGCCTTGATGATTCAGACGGCCGTGACGTCAGCGGGGTCAAGTTGTCGGCAGGCGGAGCGCGCAGCGTGGAGTAACAGCGCCACCTAGCAGCCGCCTCGGGGTAGGGGCGCCGGAACCCTTCCCCGCGAACAAAGGAAGCGCCCCCGGGGCGGCAGGGGCAGGAGAGGGGTGGAGGAGGGTGGGGGGGGTTCTAGGGAGAATGGGGTTTGTTTATCCGGGAACCAGCCTGTAACTGTTGGGGAGAGTGGGGCGGAGAGGGGGACATGCCGGAGAGAGGGAGAGAGCAAGGCAACTCGGGACTCAAAACAGTCAAATTCAAATTAAAAGGTCAAGACACGATTCAGGTACTTCTTCCCTTCTCTTTTACCTCTTCTTTTCCTCTCCTTGGCCCTCGCCCCCGCTTCTTCCCTTGGGATGGGTGTGGGGTGAGGTTCGGAGGGTGGGGAGGGCTCCAGTGGGCAGAGAAAGGGAGGAAAAAGTTAAGGAATCCCAAACAGAACTAAACTTTCTGCTCTCCTGCGTCCGGGTTCGCCGGGCTTGCCCTGGGAGCTCAGTTCGGGGACCTCCCTTCATGGAAGCTAGTTGAGTTACAAGTTCCCTGTGGGGGTTGAGGGGGGAATCTCCAGGGTCTGGAATGGACGAGGGAGGGGGTCACCATCACTTCAGGGCTGCTCCAGGAGGTTAAAGGAGGTTTCCAGTGGATCTAGGGGTCGAGGAAGGAGGAAGCCAGAGACCAGAGGCGCCGGCTCCCCGACCCGGGAATGCAGTCTGGGCCTGGCAGTGGGCGGCTCCTGGGTCACCATCTCAGGGGCTTGGAAGGCTTTGGCCTTGGAGTCGGTTCGGCTTTTTTGCTCCAGGCCTTGGCGGCCCTTGCTTTCCAATTGACCTTGCCCCCACTAAAACAGGGAATATTCCCAGAGAGGAAGAGGGAACCTGCAGGGCCTCGGCTGGTTTGTGGGAGTCACGTATCACACGGGAAACTAGGACACCAGATGTGACAAAATCCGACCCGGAGCAGTGTCCTTTACAGAGCGAACGAGCTGGGGAGCATTTGTGAATGGAGAAGAGGAACAAGCGTGTTTGTGTGGTTTTTATTATTTTTTTAAAAAGAAAAACGAGAAATAAGGGACAAGGTATGTTTTAAATAGTTCTTTCCGTTTCTCCATCTCCTTTCTCCCAAAGCGAACTAAACTCTCCACCCCTTCCTCAGGAAACGGAATCTGGAAAATAACTTGTCTTTCCGGTCGCCCCGCATTTTCCCATGGAGGAAGCCTCGGGTTTCGATTTTCCAAAGGGCTGGAGCCTGGCCAGAAAAGGACCGGTGCCCCGGGCACCCTGGCGTGGAGGAGTGCGGAGGCTGGATTGCTTCTAGAGAGGCCCAAGCCCGCGGCCGCTAGAAAAGGATTTCGGAAGGAAATCCACGGAACTCCCTCATCCAGGGGGCAAGAGATGAGGCACGGGGATCCGTGGGCCCTGGGAACACTGGCAGAAAATGTATAATGTGTGACTCGCTTGCAGGGCCAGCCAGGGGAAATTAGAAATGGTTTTGTGTTTTCATTTGCAGGGGTCACCGTGGGCTCGGCACAGGGGTTGGCTGGAGCAAGGTTAGGCTGTTTAGGCCCCAGACAAGACTTGGGAAAACCCTGGGCAGCCGTCAATCCAGGGAGCCATTTGTCCCACCTCCCACCCCGCGGGAAACGGCAGAGACTTTATGGCCACTCTGTTTGTATTATCTGCATAAGTCTTTCCCCACCAGTTTGATCGAAACTGTTCGCTTTTACGAGGACCCAACGAAAATTCCCCGTCATATTTATCAGCCGGGGATAAAAATTTAGTATGGGAACTGATATTTCCTCATTTATGGGGCGATGAAATTAAAGACCAAAGCAATTGAGAATTATATGGCTTTGGGGGGTTCCCTCCCCCCTCTTTCACATCTCCTTTATTTTCCCGCCTGGTGTTCCTGTCCGTGGAGTTTGGCATCCCAGTCCCCTGCCCTTGCCCCCTGTTTGGGGGTCTGCTGGGCCCTCCCTTCCACACCCAGGTACCGCTTGGTCAACCCTAGCTTTTCCTGACTTCTCTCGGTGTTAGCAGCTGGCGGCCGGGCCAGGGCTCCTGGAGCCTCTGCCGGGCCAGGCTGGGATCTGGCTGGGGGGGTGGAAGATTGCCAAGAGTCTCCTCACAGGGGAAGGATCTGAGCCTAGACTGGGAGGGGGCGAGGGCGGTGGCGGAGGGTGAAAAAGACAAACTCCAGATTACCTCTCAAAAAACAGCAAGCCCCAAGACTTAAGCTGGAGAACCAACAGGAGAGGAGCAGAGTCCCTCCGCCTCAGGGCTTGTCTCTCCTTACCAGCCCGACCCCCATCCCAAACTCACTCCTTACCTCAGTTCTGGGAGGGGTTGGAGCGGCTTCAGAATTCTTCTTATTAATGGAAATAATCCCCCCGGGAGAAGGAGCCTCCCGCCTGGGCTCTCACCTCCTCACAAGAACGAATAGTGTTTAAAGTTGAAATAATTAGAAGTATGATAAACACGGCCCATTAATGAAAAAAGAAATCAAATTCATCAGCCTAAGTGGGACCCCCGGTGGGACAAATGTTTGCTTCTAATTACGCAGGATAAACGCAAACCCGGAGCTGTTAAACAAGACCCCGAGCGGAGAGCGGACGCAGACTTGAATAACTTGGGGTTTTGCAGACTTTGGGATTCCGCCGCAGTGGAGGCGAAAGAGAGGAAGACGTGAGGGTGAGGACAGGGGGCGAGGGGAGCATTTGAGTGGGTCCAGGAAAGTACAGTCGGATGTGGGTCCCAGCCCTGCCCCCTTGGGCTCGGTCTTTCCCGAGGCCACGAGCAAAGGCCGTTTCCATCCTATTGTCCCGGCCTGGCGTTCAAAGGCACTCGGGCTGCCACGGCCATCCCGCCTGCTGCCGCTGCCAGGCACCCACCGGTCCTACCCCACAGAGCCAAGACCCTCGGGCCCGCGCCCCTGAGGAACTGGGTTGGGGTCAAGAGAAGTCTGTATGGCTACTCTCAGCCTGTTAAACCATTTTCCCAACTTTCTGGGAGTGCTGAGAGACCTGTGCTTATGCCTGGCTCCGGGGGTCCCCTTCTTGCCTCAACTTGGGGCTGTGAAAATCCAGGGGCGGCAGGCCAGACCAGGGCTGCACCTACATCTTGACCAATCCCACCCACCCCAAGTGTCCTGGCACTCTTCCTGCTACCCCGAACCTGGAAGAACAGCAGAGACGGGGGACTGGGCCTCCTGCTGCCTGTAGAACTGTGAGCCAGAGAGCGGAGGTGGGTGCCCCTTGCTCGCTTCTTGCATATTCCAGGAAGATCTCTTGCATATTCCAGGAAGATCGGTGGTTCCAGAGGGCAGGCCGAGGGCTGGGGCACTAGGGGTCCCCATGTGAAAACAGAAGAAGGAAAATATAGTGCTCAACGAACAGAAAGGAACCACGGCTGTTACCCTGGTGCCAACCCTCAACGTGCCCCCAGAAACACCTCGAGTTTTCCAAGGAAAGTGAGAGTTTCCCCAACAGGTTAAAGAAATCGTCTGGGAAATTCCAAAGGTGGAGTGAAAAAAAGGAAGAGCGTCTTTCCCTTTGGGGTAAAATAATAAAATAAAATAATAGTAAAGTTGGTGTATTGAAATCTATCTCTTCAAGTGAAATGGAAAATAAAATCACACCAGCGGGGAAAGTTGCAGGCGTTTTTCCTCTTGTTTTGGAGGCCCAGAAAAATTATTCTCAACCCAAAACTTGAAGGAAAATTTTGCTTTTCTCCTTCACTAACACCGGGCTCTGCCCGGACTGAGTTGGGAGCAGGGAAATACCAGGCAAACTGCAGAATGCTCAGAAGCCCAACAGAGAGATTTTCAAACAGGTACAAGAGAGACATGGGAGACCCAGGACCCTTGGAGGGCCTCTGGTCTACTCCGGATCTCGCAGCCTCCCTGGAAGCCCCGCCATCAGAGTCCCTCTCACATCTGGACGCTGTACACATTTGCCCCTAGATGCTACGGAATTTACTGTTTCCGTACTTGTCTAACTTGCGCTTCATTGTGGGCACACAGCCACAAATATTCACCTTTACCTAAGAGACGTGCTCCCCACGATCCCCGCATCCTGAAGTCTGATAAACCTGCGCCAGCCCAACTCCATTCTTGTCCCGCCGAAGGGCGGCCAGTTATTTAACTTTGCCTCCTGAATTGAAACCAGACAGCAAACACTTCGGAAAGAAGCTCTGAGAGAAGGAAACAGATGGGAGGATGTCTTGGTGGGGGGAAGCCTGGCCCCCCACTTTAGTGATTTGCTCCCAAGTTGCCCCAGTAGATTGGGTTTCCAGTGGGGAGTCAGGGCTGTGGTTGGGCTGGCTGGCTTCGGAGAAAACCCCCGCTCCTCCCTTACCGGCTAAATGCCTTTTCGAAGATCCATTTTGCATCTTTTTTCCCTCTTTCTCTCTTTCTTTTTTCTCTCTCTCTTCCTTCCTTCCTTTTTTTCTTCATCCTTCTTTCTCTGTATTTGCTTCTTTCTCTTTCTCTTTCCTTCTCTCTTTTCCTGCAGTTCATTTTTCCCTTCATTTTTTCCCCTGATCTTTTCTCTTTTTTAATTCATTGTTTTCTTCATTTCCTTCTTCCTTTTTTCTTTAGGACACAATTTATTCTTGGCTCTTTTCTTTCCTCCTCACTGCTTTCCTTCCCCCTTGACTTTTGGTCCCCCCTAGCCTTTCTTGTTTTTCTCTGTTGTGCAGAGCTCAGGGAGGAGAAAGCCCCAGGCTCGGGTGCATCTCTCTGCAGCCTCACTGCTCAGGCTTGGAGTTGACCTTCTCCGGCCTTCAGCCTTAATAACTCGGCTCCTCACAAGGCGAAGTGTAGGCCTGCAGTGGCCGGCGGCCAGGCCTCAGCAGTTGCCATCAGAGGGAAGGAAAACCTGGCGCGGGGGCACATTCCTACCGGCCCCGATGGCTCCCTGAGGCATCCGGTCCCAGGGCTCAGGTACCTTTGGTCCCATTACCTCCAAGGAGGCTTGTCCCCCAGGCCTGTCTTTGGAGAAGTTGCTCCATCTTTGTCCTGGCCTCCAGAGCTGAACATTAAAATAGGCTCAATTTGAGCCGAAGTGGCATCCCCAAGGCTGGAGTCAGGGGGAATGATGGAGTGGGGGCTCTGTCAGTCCCAGATGAGCGTCAAGATCTGAGGGGGTCACCCGTGGGCTTAGCAACGCAAAGCCATGTCCCCACATGGGCACCTTTGTTCTCTGTGCTTCCGGACTACAGTCTTGCAGTCCTCTGGAACCTCCGGGCAGGAATTTCTTGGCGTTTTGAATTCTGTCTTTCTTCAAACCCACTGTGGACTTTGCAAGAAATAGGGATGCAAGGCTGTGTGTGTAGACTCTCTCAAGTTGGCGGTCTGAGTCAAGGTTATGGGTCTCTACTTTGTGTGGTGGGTTGAGGGAGTGTTTGGGGTGTGTGTGTGTGTGTATGTGTGTGTGTGTGTGTGTAGAAAGAGAGAGAGAATGATGCCTGCAGGAGAACAAGAGGGAGTGATGGGGAAGGTCTGGTCCTGCTGACATTGCCCAACTTTGGGGGTCTGCAAGGGTATGTCTCAAGAACAGAGTGGCCAGGACTCTCTTGCAGGCCTGTAGCCTCTGTGAGCTGGTAGACCCCAAAGCTCGCTCCAAGGTGGGCCTCAGGAAAAGACTGACTACAGCCTTCAGCCTGTTTTGCCTTAGGCAGAGAGAGGCAGCTTCAGATGCCACCACCTCCCCCACCAGGGCCCCAGAACCTCTCTCCCCACAACCTCCTAAAGATCCTGAGCTTTCATTCCATGGCAAGACCAAAACTTTAAGTTTTTTTTAAAAAGGAGGAGGAATCTTGTAAAACTTTTATGCCAAACAAAGTTATAAAAACTTCCCGGGCATTGCCTTTCCAAAGGTTTATATGAATAATAAAGAGTGTAGTCGCGTGCACAGGGTTCTGGCGGGCTCTGAGCAGGAAGGGTTCAGCAAACAGTATTATCCAGCCCTGGGCACCAGGAAACCCCAGGGACTGCCCCCTTGAGGGAATATTGGCCCAGAAACGAATTGCCGTACAGATTCCTGAGAGGGGGCGGGGAAAGGGAAGAGGTGGCGCCCTTGACTTCTTGAAGTTCAAAGTTCTTCTTTGCTCGGGTGAGAAAACCCCCTCTGCCTTCAGCCCACTCAAGAAATTAGCCCCAGGTAGTTTTCCTCCCTCTGGTTGAGAACAGGCTCTAGGTATCCCCATGTCTGTGCACCTTTCAGACACCTGGTCTGTAACTTTCTTGCTTTCCCAAAGCAGAGCTGCCCACCCTCTCCATCCGGGACATCTAAAACCTGTGGGCTTCCTCTCAGAAGCGCCTGTGTGTGCTTACTTCTAAGGGGCCCTTGTATCCCCATTCCTCAGCAACCCAGGGGTCTAAGGGACAAAGAAACCCCAAACACAAGGCTGGCCCCAAGCCGTTTCTCTTTTCAAGTCCTCAAGGTTCTCCCTGTACCCCTAAAGCCCATAGTGAGAGGGGGAGGGGCCCAGAGTGCTCTCTCTCAGCCCACACCACTTAATACCCTTGTAAACTCCCACGTGCGCTATAAACTTGGATTTTTACAACCAACATTCCTCCTTAGCTCCGAGAAACTTTGAACTCGGCCTCGGGTTTATTTACTGGGGGGGGGAGGGGGTTGGGGAGCTGGGAGCTGAGAAAAGCTGGAGGAGAAGAGGGGGAAAATGCGGGGCAAGAGGGTAATGGCGTGGGGGTCTGGGGTGTGTTGGGGGAGCCAAGACTATCCACTGTGGGTTTGTTTACTGTTTAGAGCGGAAGCATTTTCTAACACAGGCCAGACTGGGTCGTTAAGGGTGAAATGAAACTGGGTTTAGAGGCATGGGGGGTGCTTTATGGCGGCGTCTAGACGAAGCTCTTTTGTTCCAGGGCAGCGCCTTGGCTGGAGGGGATTACCCAGAGAGGCTGAGCCCAGAGTGCAAGGGGGGTTGGACATCCCAGGGGCCAGAAGATGGGTTTGTTTGGGGGGGACAGAGACCCCTTTTTTCTCTTTTTAGATGGTCGCCAAGGACGGGCAGGTTCCTGGGCCTGGGTCATAGAAGCCTTTGTTTTTCTTTCACTATGACCCCCTGCCTTCCGAAATCCCTTCTGGGGCCAGGGATCTTTTCTGGGCTGCATATTGCAGGGCAAGTGATAGCTGTGGGTTTTAGATATTTTTCTCCAAAATCCGAATCCATTTGGAGATTATCATTTTGCTCTAAAAACAGGTTTGCTTCATAGAGTTATCCCCATCTTATTTTATAGGAAACATGGCCAGCATGCCAATATTCCTTGATATGACTAGGGGATAAATATCATACCGAGAGAGGTCTTGCGCGTGCACACACACATGCACACACACACACAGCGCCCTCAGCTGCGTTCTTGCTGACACTGATAAACACCGCCAGTGCTTACACACCCCAGAGGCCACAAGCCCTAGATGTGCATGGGGTCAGGTTTACTCCATAGCACAGGCCGAAAACATACATATAAGATTCCTTCCCGTGTGCACAGAGGCACACCAACTTAAAATACTTGTGTGGGAGCACATAAGGGAATTGTGGGGCTCTATATACACCTTAGCTTTCAGATTTTGTCTCAAGACTCACATTTACGAATTACAGATTCAGATAGCTGAGCTGCATGGATCCCTGTCATCAAAAACAACGCCGGAGCCTGGATGTGATTGCCCATTATCGGGGTGCTTTTGTCTGTCATTCCACAGAATCGTATTGACAAAAACATTTTCTTTGAATTATATAAGAACAGTTCCAAAGAGAGGGAAAAGATGAGAGAAACCGGTTCCAAATCTTTGCCCCTAAATAATGAATTTGGAACAGAGACTGCCAGAGGGCCTCGCTGAAAGCACTTGAAAGGACTATGGTTATCTTTTTACAGAAAAAAAAAAAACCCACAAAAAACAAAGGACTCATGTAGCAAATATAGATGGGTATGGCGAATGTCCCCAAGGGTCACCCAGTTACCCAGTGCCCCACCGCATGCCAACCCCTTACAAAACAAATCTCTGGGGCTTTCTACTCTGGGAGACCCAATGTACAAACATCAGGGTGGCCCCAGTCTAGCGTCTTGTTGTGTCTGGAGGAACCTGGCCATTTGTGCTTGAGGGGAAGGGGCCCAGCCCCACCTTCCCACCCTCAGGGGCCAGCCTCGGTGAGGAAAGGGAGGGGGCTGGTTTCCCCTCCTCTCCCCTCCCTCCTTCAAAACTGTATATAAAAATTCCAATGCAGTCTTCTCATAGAGAGAGAGAGAGAGAAAAAAGAAAGCCCTACCCTCAACCCTGCACATTTAACTGCGACAGACGGAGACATCTGGCAGGAGGGTGGTGGAGCCAAGAAAATTCCTATAAATTTAAATTCGATGATGGTTACAATTAACTCCACAACAAACGTGTACTTAAACAGAAAGCGTTGCTGGGCGTTTGGACGCAGCTCGAGCTGCACGTGAGAGGAGAGAGCGTTCAGAGTAGCCGTGGAATGTCCTCAGCTTGAGAGCAGGACGACGCTACCGCCAGGCTCTTGCCCCTGCCAGCGAGGAGAGGGTGCAGGCCCACCAGCTCGGGCCTACCTCACCTTCACACGCCTGTCCTCCCCAGCTGGCCTCTACCCACCATTCTCCTCCTCCGCCTTGGGAGCATTGAGGATTTTAAGAGGAGAGGGGCTAATAAAAGGGTCAAATAAAATCATAATATTGAACAGAATGAAATATCTTTATTTGCCACCAAAAAAAAAAAAATTCACAGCAATCCCTCTGGGACGGGAGCAGGGTGGGGATTGCACACGTACACGCACACTCACGCTCATGGAGAGAGATGGGTGATTTGAATCTCATTCCAGGTGAGTCCTCCCCCCCCACCCCATCCCCTCTGGGTAGAAAGAAATGCTTGTGAAATTTATTTACAAAAATTCAGGCCCCAGCATGGGGGAGGCCCCCAATCCCACCTCCCTCCTGCCTCCTCCAACCTAATCTTTTTTTTCTTCCTTAAAAAAAAAAAAAAGGAGGTAACAACTGCATAGACTATAGCTATAAATCCATGGAGTGGGGCACGGCTTGGAAATAGGTTAGGAAACCTCAATGCACCAGTTAAGAAATTTCAAAGGAGGGCTCTACACGTTCACGGGGAGAACAACTAGGCTCAGGCGGGGCCTGGGCGCAGACGGAGGTAGGACACGGACTTTGCACACCTAACACCAGGTCGAAGGTACAGAAATTTCACAGCAAGGCAGGATCACATTTAGCTGCCCCCTAGCAGTGGGGCGAGGTGGGGTAGGGGTGGGGAGCCCAAGAAGTCTCCCCTCGCAGACACGGTGTCTTAGCAGATCTTATCACTTGGGCAAGGGAAGGCTTTTAGTTCAAGGATTTGTTCGCTCAGGCGCCTACTACTGTCGCCCCTCCCCCACCCAATCCGAGCAGCAAGACGTTGTCGCGAGGTGTGTTTTCTTTTAAATAGAGTCTTGGCCTCGGCGCCAACGATGTCCACTCGCCGTGGGTTAGACACTTCCCTTCACCCTCTTTCCAGGCCCGGTCCCTGTCCCACAGCGAGTCAGACGGAAGGTGAAGGAGGTTCCAGAAAGAGGTGCGGGCGATGGCAGTGGGGGCCAGCCCTGGCCACAGTCCAGTTTTCCACCCGCGGAAAGAAGGCGAGTTAGAAAATAAAAAATAAAAATAAAATAAAATAATTTTCCCCCTTTCCCCCTTCCCCGTAAAGGGCCCGGTCTGCGGTTACAGCAGAGGATTTCCCGAGAAATACTGCAGCCGGTCTCTGCTTAGTTTTTTTTCTTTCATCCTTCTGTTCTGAAACCAAATTTTCACTTGTCGGTCCGTCAGGTTCAGCATCCGGGACAGCTGCAGCCGCTTCTCTTTGTTGATATACACGTTGAAGAAAAACTCTCGCTCCAGTTCCCGGATCTGGAATTTCGAATAAGGGCAGCGCTTCTTGCGGGTGCGGGGGGCGTCTGGAGGGGAGGGAGGGGACAAGTGCGAGGAGAGGGGAGAGAGACACGTGAGACCCGGGCGACCCCAGCCCGCTGAGCGCTCGGCGACCCTTCTCCCAGCCCCACCGCCAGGCAGCCCTCCCGCCAGGCCGGCCTGCCTTCCCCGCTCGGGCCGCAGGGCTGGGGCAAGCCCGGGACCCCCTGCCAGGTCTGGCTCGACCGATCCGCGGCCGCCGCGGGGTCACCGCCCCTCCCCTCGGGCGAGAGCCCCGGCTGGTGGAGTCCGGGGAAGAAGGAGACCAGCCGGGCCAAGTGCGTCCGGGGGGCCCGCCGGCTCAACCGCTGTCCTCGGCCCCTTCCTGCGCTGCCCTCCAAGTGGCTCTGAGCACCCACCCACCCCTCCCGCAGAAATCTGGGGGGACCGCGGAGAACAGGCAGGAAGAAGTGAGAGCTGGCGAGAGCAGTGTGGAGACGGGGAGGAAGCGAGCGAGCAGGCACCAAGGACACCCGAGAGCCGCTTCCGGGGGCCCTGGCGCCCCGGGACGCCCGGAGGGCCGCGCCTTCCACGCTACCGGGCTAGGCCGGCGCTGAGGCCGCGGACCGCAGGGAAACACTGAGACCCGGGCCTGGAGCCGCGCGGAGCCCTGAGCCGCCTCTCCCCACCCCCTGTCGCCATGACTTCCGGCTTGCTGGGGTTCTGCTCAAGGACCCGTGAACACATAGTTTGAACATTTCAAAAATAGTTTTTAAAAGAAGCAGAGCAGTCCTGGCTTGCCTCTCCGGTCTCAGGTTCTGCTCCATTGCCTCTCCCCTACCACTCCCCCTCTCTGAGTTTCTCCCTGTCTTTCCATCGCCCTCCCCTTTCTCCCCCTCCACCCCTCCCCTCCGTCCCACCCCCCCGGCAGCCCGGCTCCCCATCCTTCCTTAAATGCTCTTCTAAGTTCACGATCAAAGTTAATATCGCTCGCGATGGTGGCGCTTTTAAAAATTTCACAGACCGAGGGAGATAACGGGGAGGGGGGTTCACCCGGCTTTTCCAAAGAGCCCTTTTCCCTCCCTCCCCACCCCTTCTCCATCGTAAAAAGTCGAGTCGTTGGGAGAGAGGGCTTTGTAGGTTATAATAAAATCCTTTGAATGCTTATAAAACTCCACATAAAATCGGACTGACCCAAAACACGAGGCCGTCCCCGCTCCCCTCGCCTCCCCCCTGCTCTCGCCCTCCCTCTCGCGCTCCCTCCCTCGCTGCCCGCCTGTGTCCCGGCCGCTGCTACCTACTGGGGGCGGCTCCCTTGGCCGGCTCCTTGGCCGCCGAGTGGGCTGAGCCGGACGAGCTGGGATTCGTGTTTTCCTCCTCGGCCTCGGCCTCGGCCCCCGCCTCAGCCCGCGACGCCAGTGCCGAGGCCGGGGTCGCCTCCGGCTCCCCCTTGGCCTCGCCCTTGCCTGGGCAGGGGGGCTCGGCGGGCGCGTCGCCGCCCCCGCAGTAGGCGTTGTCGAAGAAACGGTCGAAGGCTTGAGGCAGAACGCTGTTCTTGTTGACTGAGGAGTAGAAGCCGGCGGGGGCTGCGTGCGGGGCGCTGGGGTGGTGGTGGCCGCCGTAGGAGCCTTCGTTTTTCATGAGGATCTCGGTGACCGTGGAAGGAGGCAGGCACTCCCGGTGCATAAGCTCGTCGGCCGCCGCATAGCAGGAGGAGTAGCTGTTCCGGTGGTGCCACTTGCCGGATGGCTCCAGGCCGTAGGAGACCTCCCGGACCGGGGGCACTTGGGCTGAGTAGGGATAGGAGATCTGACGAGAGGGGGCCTGGGGCAGGAAGGAGGAGACCGTGGAGAACTCGGGCACGTAGTAAGTGCAACTGGGCAGATAGAGGTTGGAGGCGCAGCTCCCTCGCTCGCCGAAATCAGCGCCCCTCTCCTTGCGCGACGGCGAGCAGAAGTTGCCCAGGTTGACCGAGTTAAACATCGTTCTCTTCTCCTGCCGGCTCCAGATGGAGGTTTTGGACCCGATCTAGCGAGGGGGGAAAATTTGGGAAGGCGAGATGACGCGTTATCCGTCTTAGTCTCTCTCCCTGAGCACGTGATCCAAAGTAGATATTGTCATATATCAGTTCGGAGCACTTCGCAGACGTAGGAGGGGTTCTCTCTTAGGTAAGATGGGGACGTTCAGGCGATTGGTTTGCAAACACCGCAGAAACATTATGAAAATCAATTGCAGATTTGTATTCGTTTTTCTCTCGTCACTCCCCTCCTCTCCATTCCACAGAGCGAGCAAAGGAGGAGAGAGAGGGTTGGGGTGGGGTGGGCGGTGGGATGGGCAGTGGGGGGGGTGGCGGGGAGGGGGTAATTGTATTTTTTTCTAGCTGCTTCTCCCCCCACCCCAGAATTGAGGGAAGGAGGAGGGCTCCCACCTCTGGGGGGTCTTGCCTCCTCCGGATGATGAGCCCAAGACTGAGGTGGGGATGAAGACCTCTTTCCCCACCGCCTGGTTCCGCGGGAGATGTGAATCCTTCCCAACTCTCAGGGACTCTTACCCTGCCAACCCGCAGAGGGCCAGCGCCTCTTTACAAGAGTTTGAAGAAGTCCATTCTTTTCTTGGCCAGGGCTGTGTGTCAGGACTCCCCTTCCCCTTTGGAGAGACTCCTCAGAAGAGTATGGGAAGTTTTCCAAAGGTGAGGCAGCCCAGCACCAAGCCAGGGTCCCAACTTTGTCTGGCTCTGCTGTGCTGCCTGCGGCTAGGGACTCAGATTAGTCATAAACGAGTGGTAAGCAGTGCGCCAGCCGCCCAGCCGGTGCCTGGCCAAGTCTGGGGAAAAACCTTCTCTAATGTTGTGTTAAATATTTAGTATGAGAGAGTGGCCCTGGGTGAATATTTCATGCCTGCCTTTATTGTCAATCAATGTGCAGAAAGCTACATCCACTGTGGATTTTGAAATCTCAAACCCCAAAGATAAAGATCGGAATGAGAGCCATGTATTTTCTCTGTCTGGGGTCCTTTGGGTTGGGGGCTCAGCCTCAGCTTGGGGGCCGAAAAGAAGCCTGGAGTCAGGGTCCAGGAAGGATATGGGGGGGCTGGGTTTGGGGCTCCTATCCTTAAATGATTTGGGGGCTGGGAGGTGGGCAGTGGGGCCAGGTGTGGGTCTGCTGGACAGACTAGCAGGGGAGTGGAAGGGAGCTGAGGAACCTGGGTGGGCAGGGCAGGGCCAAGGACCACTCCCTAATGGAGGCCCCCAGCCCTGCTCCCAGGGGGCTGTAGGCAGGCCTTGGTGCCTCTTTCCCATTTCTCAGCCCTTCCCTGCCCTCTTCCATGTCCACCAGCCTCCTAGACATCTGTGGCCCAAGAGGTGGACTCAGTAGTTCTGCCCTCCTTCGCCTCTCATCCCTCTGGGCACCATGGGACACATCCAGGCAGCTGAGAATCACTTTATTGAAAGGTTCTGGACTGGATCCAAGGGGCCAGAGCAATCGCCATAGGCAGAAAGCAACCTTGGATCCAAAGAGGAGCTACCAGGGCATGATTTGTTCAGGCAGGAGGGGAGGACTGAAGCCCTGCAAGGATTCAGGGAAAGCCAGAAATAGCCCAAACCCTCTTTTAACCCCTAACTCTTGGTTAAAATTGATTTCTACTTTACAAATACTATTTGGATTTGATTTTCCTTGCAGAGCTTGGTGACACATACTGAGGCCCCAAAACCAGATCTTGGAGAAGACACAAAAAATTTTTTCATGTCCCCAGATATAACTCCCCAAATCCATTCCTTCTCAATCCTCCTGCCTTCCCAAATTTGCTCAGCCTTTACAGCATCACCTGGAGTGGAGCCACGTTGGCCACGGGTCTCATTCTTGGGGTGGCTCTGGAATACCCAAGGATACCCCTCTACCCATTATTTGGTGGGCCATACTTCCTGAGCCCTTCTTTAGTCCTGGCCAGATCTTAAAGGATGGCAAAGAGGAACTAGATTGCGGCTTTGCTCAAGTGTGGGACTTCTCCGTCAGTGAGGAGCTGCAAGAAGAAAAATCTGTTGCTTTCCTCCTTCCTCTACCTCTTTTTATAGGGTGACCTGGGGCTAGCGTTTTTAATTATAATGATGGGGAACTATGGACTATGGCTTTTATGGGGTTCATGCTGACCTCATTAAACTCAAGTTTATTGGAGGCAAAATGTTCTCCAAACAGTGATAGGAACCAGCAAGAGGGAAGAGAGAGGTACCCCTATCCCTTGCAGAGGTGGGGATAAGAGCTCAGAGTCTCGGCTTCGGCTTTTCCCAGTTCCCCCAGGGCCCTGCTTCCTTCTCCATCCTGGTCTCCAGGGCGATGTGGGGCCTAAGCCCCCAAGGCAAATTCTGTACTGCAGAGGCCGACAGTGGGGAGGGGTACGCTTCCTGTGAGGAGCCAGCTGTGGGCCTGAGCACTTGAATTTGACCACCAAAGTTTGTTCCAGGGCCACCATAAAAGTGAGCCAGGCGGCTGCAAGGAGCCAGTGGCGGCTTTATTTCCTTGAAACAAAAAAGAAGGCAAGAAAGAATGTCAAAGAAGTTGATGTCCAGGAAACTCTAGGTCTCCCAACAGAGGCTTCTGAGAATTAATATTCTTCCCCCTAAAAGTAAGGCATGAAGTTCAATTTTTTTTCCTAGTTTTGGTCTGACTTTTAATTTTTCAACAACTTTTTTAAAATCCCAGCAACTGGAGGTTGCTGCCAGAAGGCCCTGGACAATGAGGTCAGCAAGGTATTGATGGGCAAAAATGCCCACAGTGTGGGCTGGCCACTTCCCTGCCCAACCCTCAGTCCAGGACCACTCCAAAGCATAGATTGTGGCGCTTGCCCCAGGCTGCACCCCAGGGCATCAGTGCATCCCCCCAACATGAGACTCAACTGTGGTCCCAAATCAGTTCCTAAGAACCGTGGCAAGCCCCACTCCCTGGCGGGAGGTGGCTTCCCCTCCCCCATCTCATGGGTGCCTGTGGCCCTTCCACAATCCTGGAGTCCCATCTTTCACCTGAAATCCTCCAGGGCCTAGCTCACTGGTCCTTGGTGGCCTCAGTCGGCACCTCCAGCCCACCTGCCTGCCTGGCCGCTTCCAGGCCGCTGCGTTTCGGTCCAGGCAGCTGATGCTGTACTCTGGCCAGGACCAAAACAGATCTAGTGATGCTCCCTTCCACACGCGGACACCAGAGGCGGCTTCAGAAGGGGGTAGTATCTTCTGAATTCTGAATCCCCGCATGGGAGACCCCACACACAGCGCTGGCTGGCCTTGCAGCTTGTCCACCTCCCAATTCTAGAGAGCAGATTGGGGGAACCAGGGAAAGGGGCCCATCCCACAGACCAGGCACCAAGAGGGAAAGCCAGAGAGGAGAAAGAGGGACCATTAGAGCTCCAGTGGGCTTGGACTCTAAGTTCAGTCCCATGTGGAGTCAGTAAGAGATAAGCATCAGGCGCGTGGACAACCTCAGCGCTCGGAGGCTTGGCCCACAAGGATGAACCCTCATTAGAAATCAGCTCGCACCTTGTTGCACGTCTTTCTCTCCCCTTAGAGCAATCGGGGGTGTTTAGTAATCCCTCTATAGTGTGCTTGGGGATTTTTAGGCCAGCGGTTTACCTTGCACCCCAGGACACATCTCACTTTCAGCCAAAGAACTAGAGGGGGGGTGGTGGGACTGCTGGTCCTTGGCCCCCACCTCTCCTCAGCCCTGGCCATTGCCCCAAGCCCAAGGGCCCAAGTCAGGTCACCCAAGCCAGTGGATGCTGCTCTGAGGTTCCTCGGCTCCTGGAAGTGACAGGGGGAGGGAGAAGGGCAGCTTCTCCGCCCCCCGCAGCCCCACCCACCTTCCTCCGCTGAGGGATTGTCCCAGGAGGCTAGCAACGCGACCCCATTTCTCCCCATAAAAGTCCCATTTTACGAGCCAGTTTCACTGGGCCCCTCACCAAATGCTCTAAAATGAAGGAAATGCCTTAAAAGCAGTCTGAATTGAGCTGCTACTATTGGACCTTGGTGTCCAAACCCAGTTACAGCAGCACAGAAATGTCTTTTCTGGGCCAGATTGCCCTGTTGGGCCACCCGGATCTCTGGCCGCCCCGCCGCCAAGCGGAGGCCCGTTGGCCCGAGCCGCCATTCCCTGGCTTTAGCGCCTACTTAGGCTCGGACCCAGTCCGCGCAGATCAAAGTGAGCTCGCGGCATTTTTATGAGATGAACTTCAGTGGCTCTTTACTTGTAATCAGACGCCTGGGTCGAAAATGCAAAAGGGAACAGCCCATCAATCCAAGAAGGAAAAGGGGGGTGTGGAGAGAGAGAGAGAAAGAGAGAGAACACTAGGGAGAAGAGGGGGACGGGGATGAAAAAATTCAGGTGACGCATAGCAGGAAGATTCTGGTCACCACCAACAAAAAAAGACCCTTTGCCTGCAGCAAGAACGGTTTGTGGGTCTGTTCCAGCCTCCACGCCCCACCATCTGCCTGTACACTTCGCCCCGATTTCTGGGGGGCCAGGAAACCTGACTCGCCTGTGTGCTGAAGCTTGATCCGAAAGCTTCCACAGTGTGGACGTGCCATGTGGGGCGAGTGTGGCCGCCTGCCCTCTCCTGCCCCAGCGGGGAAGTCGCCTTCTGCTCGCGATTTAAAAGTCTCTCGCATTTTGCTGCTTTTCTCTCTGTGGTCTCCGTGGTTCTCTCGTCACTACAGCCAGAAGTTGAGTTACAGGAAGATTCACCAGAGATTTATCGCCTGGCTCCAAACTTGGAGAGCCCCGTTGTCATAAACAGCCGTCTATTGTCTAGACTTTTATCTCCGGGTATGGATCGTGCATTATTGAGGCTCAGGAGACACGGGTCTGGCTCAGTGGGGTGTGTGTGATGCCAAGCGCTTGCCCCTTGCCCCCCAGGGTTTCGGTGTGTAAGTTTAGGAAAGTGCACAGATTTGTGTGTGCCCCTGGAGCTGGGCAGGTACACCTGAGTGTCCAAGTGGGGAGGCGCAGGGTGGGGAGGGTCTCTCTGTGCCTGGGAACATTTTGGTGCATGGACTTGTGTGTTGGGTGAGAATTTGTCACAGTGTGCTTTGTTTCTGGGGCATTTTAAGTATTCCTGTCTGGTTTTTGCAGGTTTTATTAACCTGCATCCGCTTGGCCTATTTATGTCCCTTTGAAGGAGATCATCTGGTGTTTTTCAATATTGGAGCCCATTGTGTGTGTGTGTGTGTGTGTGTGTCTTCTCCGAGGAAATGGATTTGGGTGATACCTTTTTAGTCTTACTCCCTTAGATTCCTCCACTTACCCTAAATCACACCTCAGCCTCTGCCTTGCCCCAGAGTCTGGCCCTGCTCTACTCCCTAAAAGTCCAGAAATCTCCCAAGCAGCTACCAATTTTCTGTCACAGGCACAAAACACATTTTTTCAGGATGAGGTCTGGCTATCTCTGTCTTTCCCACATTAGGGGGAAATGTCCCAGCTCATAAACTCCCTCACTTCCTGGGGCTTCCCTTCTGAGAGCTGAGGGGGACATCAGAAAGGGCCTCCCCACTTCATTCTGACCTTTTAAAATACTCTCCACACAACTCTACATAATACCAAAGGGGCCTGCCGCTCCCTCCCTGGGGCTTTCTGGCAGCAAATGTCCTCACCCTGGCCACCTCCTCAGCCCCTGGAGCTCAGGCAGTGGGACATTTGCCCAGATTAAATGTCTGTGGGAGAGACGCCTATCACCTTAGAGCTCAGGGTCAGATGCTGTTTTTCTAAGCCTGGATCCTTTAACACCATCAGAAATAATCAAGTCCTCCCCCTTTGTTTTTCATTATCAGGATGCAGGGTGGGAGGGCTCTTAGGCCCTGAGGCCTGGGAGCTCCACTGACCACCCCCAGTGCTCCCGGCTGCTCCCACCCGGGTGTCAGGTCTTCCTTCGGGTCCCTAGTAGCCCTTAGGCACCTTAGCCTGGTAGGTAAAGTGGGAGGGGACTGACCCTAGAGGCTGGTTTCCAGTTGAGAAGGGCGGAGGTGACAAAATTAGGGCTTTGTGGAGTATCAGATTGAACCAGAAGTCCCCAGAATTGCCCTGAGCATCTCTCCCTTCCCTCGCCATTAGAAAAGCAACGATTAGGCCTAAAAAGGGCTCCGTGGGCACAGAGCAGGAGAAAACAGGCTGTCAGGGCCAGGAAAAAGGAGGTGAGCCCTTCACAGACACCCCTACGCTATATTCTCTCTCTCTCCCTCCCTCTCTCCCCCAGTGCCACCCTGCAGGGAAAAGATCAAGGATTCCACTTCAGGTTCCTTTCTCTGGCGCCTTGGCTTTCGGCTGAGCCGCCCGCTGCCCCCAGCCCGCAGCCCGCCGGGGTCGCCACCGCCCCCGCAGCTCCGGAACTCACTTTCCCTCCGGCTGGCCCGCTGCGGCGCCGTCTTCCTCTGTCTCTCCCTGCCTCCCTCCGTCCTTGCCTCTCCCCCACTTCTCAGGCCAACAGATTTCGAATATGCTCCTTTCTCCGCACCCCAGGCCTAGGCTGAGCCCGCTCAGTGCTCGAGGATCGCGGCGGCAGGTCCGGGTCCTCGGCCCGCGCGCTTTGCTCCCAGTCCCGCCCGCTGCAGCCTCCTTTGCTAGTTGCCGGGTTGAAACGCTTCTCTATCGCTTGTCTGCTTCTCCCCCTTTCTCTCCGCCTCTTGATCTGAAAAATAAATAAATCCAAGTCTCCTACCTCATCAGCCCTCCCACTGGCGCTGCCTCACTTCTCCTCCTTACCGAGTGTACCGCCTTATTTTCAGAAGAAAATCTTAATAGACATTTAGGCTGTAAATGAACTTTTCTTTGTGATGGCTAATTTTCTTTCCAATTCTTATGTCCTGCTCCTTTTCCTGGTGGAATGGAACGGATTTAGAAGTCTGCAGTAGGGGAGGGGAGTGTGGAAAGACGGAGCCCAGAGTTACAGACAGTGGCGAGAGACACGGAAGACCCAGAGATACAGAGAGCAAAAGAGGCGTTAGGCTGGGAAGAGGAGGGAGAGAGGGAGGGAGGGAGGGAGGGAGAAAGGGAGGGAGGGAGGGAGTCCCAGCGGGCGGGAGTGGAGCCAGAGAGAGAGAGAAAAGGAGAGAAAAGTTTCCCAGAGTCTTCATTAGTTGACTTCTCTGTCCGCTGCTTCCCCGAGCCGGTGGAGCTCACCCCCAATAAAGGAAGGAAGGGGGTCTTTATTTTTTTCTAAGGCCCCAAAGAGTCCAGTGTTTACAAGCCTAGAAATGCTACGGCCATGTCCAGGCAGAAAGAAAGGCTGAAATGGAGGACTGACGCCTTCCTTATAAGGTACGATGCTAACTTGACCTTCACTTTGTCATGGCGCCCCCCGCCCACCCAGACTGCTGCAGGCAGCCTGGCAGAGCGCACAGCCGGCAGACCCTGGCCTCTGTTCTCCCTCCTTCCTCTCCTTCGCTTTCAAATCTTTCTTTCCTTTTTTAAATGTTCCTCCATTTTTCTTCTCTTATTTCCTTTTCTAGCTTTTCCTTTTTATTTCCTTCCTTTATTCCCTGTGGTTTCTCCTCCTGCCCCTTTTCTTTCACTCATTCCTTTTATTCTTGTCTTCCTGTTTCATGGTTTCCCTTGACTCTCTCTTGCCTGGCTCTCTACCACAAACTCTCTCTCTCTCTCTCCCTTCCCCGCCCCCGCCCAGGCTTCTGGTTTCTGGTGTTCTGAATCCCAGAAACAAGAAAGCAGATTTTCAGTTTTTTCCCCATCCCCAACCCAACCAACCTCCAGGGCCCTAACCTGATTTCTGCTCCCATCCAGGTGTCTCTGGGGAAGAGGTCCAGGAAAGAAGGCCAAATTGGGATCAAAGGGGGCTTCACTCTGGACCCAGTGCCCACTTGAGGATGACAATGAACTTGGTTTTGGTAAG